GCACTCTAGTGCCAGCATTAAATATAAGCTGTCTGTCTGTTTGACAATGCATGATAAAGTATACCTACAGTATGTACAATAATGACTTCAAGCCATTAAATATAAAGCAATATCATTCTACACCCTCTTTTCAGTTTGTCTGCACAACACTGTCTTCTTAATGCTCACTTGTCTAAACCCATTTCAACCCTTGTTTGGGGCACCTCGGACAGTACAGTAATCTTTTTATTCAAAGTAAGTAATCTCTCTATTCACACTTTTACCCCTACTTTCAAAAACTTCAATATTTTTTATAGGAGTATTTCTTCTTTTGTGATGACAAACCTTTGCTCATAAAAGATAAGATGGAAGGACACAAACGGAAAAGGATGAATCACATATGACAGCCAATATGGATTAATCCAAGAAGGTATGTAAAAGCTGCCCTCTGTGGGTATGAATGTACTGTACTTGAATCACCATGTAATAAGAGGAAATTGTGTATTGGATATACAGGGTTATAATAATTATTACAGTAATCAACTTAAAAATTTTCATGGTGTGTGTGTGTGTATATATATACAGTATATATATATATATATACAGTATATATATATATATATATATATATATATATATATATATATATATATATATATATATATATATATATATATATATATATATATATATATATATATATATATATATATATATATATATATATATATATATATAGCAACCAGCAAACTTTATATATTTACAGTCTAAGGCACTGGAAGGGAAGGCAAGTAATGTCACTTGGGAAAGGTCAAGTAAGAAGGCACGAAGAAAGAAGGTCCTGGATTTCCAGTGTTGAAACCTTGATTGAGAATGGGAGAGAAAGGGAAGGTCAGGATTACCTTAATTTTTGACAGGTCTGTAAAAAATCTCTTAATTTCCATATACTATAGTCATTACACTTCAAATGATACTACGCATGAAATTATTCAGCATTATCATTGACACCTCATTTTGGGCTAACTTTGTATTTGAATGTATTCATATGATACAGTAAACATGATGATGAAAGAACCACCCTATTACATCTTTTTCCAAGAAAATTAAACCTGCAATAACAGAAGTTAAAAATGTATGATTTAGAGGCGGATGGTATAAAAGAGAGGAAAATCAAAGGAGGATAGGGAAGAATGGGGTGAAGGGTGCACTAAAAACATAAGGAAATGTGTGTACTGTAGATATATAAGTAGCTAATAGTGAGGAATAGTAGAACTAGTAGTGAGGAATAGTAGTACTAAGATGAAAGTGAGAAAATATAGAGGAATAGGTACAGTATGGTCAAGTGAAAACAGCATAAAGAGACTGATAGCAAGTGTCTACCTGCATATTAGTTATTTTGTGTTCTTGAGTGATGGCAAAAGAGGAGTGAGAAGGTACAGCCATAGAGGCACTCTGATGGTAGCACAGTGAGAAGAAATACAAGTCTGTGGAAGAGGGTCATGAAGTACACTAATGAAGGTTCCAAAATAACCAATCTACTGTACAACTATAAAGAGCATAAAGTAACTTAAATACATAGCACTTTCAATATGTTCTACATCCTCTGATATAGAAAAAGTTTCTTATATGTTTCAAAATTACTTAACATGAAATAACTCATTTCAACATCGACTCAAAAAATCAAATTTAGACCTTTCAATACGATAGCTCTTTTGTGTCTGAACTTCATAACACTTTGAACTTTAAGTTTTTCATATACTGTCCTGTATTTCTTTAATTGGCAATCTTTTCTATATTTACAGGTGTCTTTACATGCTGCATCTTTAACTCTTATTAGCAATTTTTTTCATTCATATTTTTTTAAGGTTTTTGTCTCATTTACATCATCATCTATTACTTTACCTAATCACATAAAAATAATATAATTCTCATTTCTCTCTCATTTAGGAAACTGTTAGCTCAGCTAGTCTTAATTTGGGTTTCATGTTATTTAGAATAATTTCATATTTCTAACTTCACTTCCACAATAAGCTTTGATTTTTCTTGTTTAACTAGTCATTAGCCTGATTTTGATCTTGTTTACATAATAATTGTTATTATGCAATCTAAATCTCATTAAAACTCCCAAATGTACTATTATATACAGATAACTTAATTTTACAACAAAATTATCTAATTGTCAAGCATAAAACTAAACATACACAAATTAGTTCTTGGGCACAAGTAAGTCATAGTAAAGTATGATACTCATGTCAAGGTAAGCTGCCAAGTCTATATTTAAAAGAGATTGTATCAGCTACATTTTAAGTGCCAATCTTAAGTTTGGAGAAGTTGTGAGATATACTTCCTTAAGTACCAAACCTATATTTAGAACAGCTATTCCTGTATTAGTTTGGTTCTGAGCCTAAATTTGGACAAAGGTTAATTCTACAAAATATAACTTAAGGGCTTAGCTTAAATATGGACAAGCTGTATTACATTATAGTTTCAAACCTAAATTCAGAGAAGCTAGTGGCATCTTTCTAACCACCTCCAGACATGGAGGAAGGGAGGAGCATGTATTTTTCATTATATTTTTTGATTATGTATATTCTGGACTGTGGCTTCTATGCCTGTATTGCCAGAGCTTTAACTGTTTCTAATATGGACTACTGGTATTCCCATGGATACAGAGCTAGTACAGGAAAAAAGGGACTATATCCATGGGTCCAGTGTTAGTACAGAAAGAAACCAGACTACTTGAAGTAAACCTGGAATGTTCAATTGGGTCCCAGGGAAAAAACACTTTTCAGTTATGATCCAAGCTTGAATTGTACCCGTGTTGTGGTGAGAAGTATATTACTGCATACCATCAACATCTTGTATAACTATTATATTTTCCAGATAACAAAACATGCAATGATATGTTTAAGCACCAAGTCAGCCATACGAATTGGCTACTACAAACTTAGAAATAAATAGAAAACAGTTCACCGTCATACTCAAAATTGGAAAATGATGAAAGCAACAAGAGTAATACATAATTATCAATTATGTATTGGTTAATTATCTTTTGTTTGTATGCATAGTGGCATTTAAATGGGTGCACTATGCCCAGACCCCATGGGGAAGAAGAGTGACATTAGAAGTATGCCATATGTATATTTTCTATGTGTTGAACCTAAACTTGGATAAGGTGTGTGATATCTTGTTGAGGTGCCGAGTCTTATATTTGGACAAGCTGTGAGATAGGCTAATTTAGGTGCCCAGCTTAAATGTGAATAAGCAGTATGACATGTCTTGCATGTCAAACAATAATTCGGACCAGTTGCTTAGAATATTTTCAAAGTGCTCAGACTTCATTTAAACAAGCGGCTTGATGTACTTTCCGAAACCTAAATCCAAATGGGAAAAAGTTAAACTAACCTTCTTTCTAACTGTTAATTTAGAATCTGCATTATTTGTTTTGATCAATGGGTTCCTGAATTTCAATATCAACATTCAGATTAGGAGAGATTACCTGAGTAACTATTGATGTGCCTATCATCTTATGCCTGGTGACTGTAGTCTATCCACCCAATACTTCAACACTGGCTCTCAAATCCCAAAGTCTCCCTGATGGTATTTAATATGCAGTATCTCATGAAGGCTCTCCTTGATACACCATTTCAGGGAGCTCCCATCTAATTACTATATGACATTCTGATTATGTTACATAATAAATTTGCCAAGTTAAGCCATTTTCTGTTATCTGTCATCTCCTTTACTTACACTAGATAGTGGGATTAAATGGTCATTGAAATGCCATATATGCATTATTATAATTGAAGAAAGACAAGATTATAATACATATAACTATTCATAAAACTATCACATAGTCTTGTATTCTTAAAATTATAGCATCACTGATATAGTATATGTGATAGATAAAGAGTGCAATTATGGTGGTGGTGTTCTGCACTTCTAATTCCACAACCAAAGTTTACACAGGAGTCCAGAATCTCAGAGGCTTATACATTATATATTTCCCTTTATCAAAGGTTTAAAATGATAGCTAACTGGTTCATTTAAGCTGGTGACCAAAATGTCATTTAATGTACACAGACTACAGTATAGTAATTAGATGCTGAGTATGATTCCCCTATTGTCACACTGAAGAGAAATTGAATGAATGAATCTTTGAGATTTTAGACCCTGGATGCTAGGCAGAAGTGATAAGTATTCATAATCTTGATGTGCTCACAGGTGCTCACATGTACTTGCTCATAACCATGATGCACTCAAAGTTGCTCACATGTACTTGCTCATAACCAGGATGCACTCAAAGTTGCTCACATGTTTGCTCATAACCATGATGCACTCAAAGCTGCCCAAAAGTACTAGCTCTTCTCCCTTGCCAGAGAAGACAGAGCTTTACAAAAAGGAAAGTTCAGAAACCAAAGTTGATTTTCTTTCCATCTGAAAAGTACAGCATATGAATAACAATTCTCTATTCACTCACTATTTCACTCTCCACTCAACTCAATATACGTACTAATAAAAAAAAATATAGTACCCTATAACACAATAATGGACAAATAATATTAAAGCTAAAATGTCTACATTTTATAAAAAATTAAATGCATTTTCAACCTTCATACTCATATAAACTGCTGACACACAGAGGGTTAGGGAATGCCATTCATTGTAGCCATTACACGAATAAGTCCCTTTATCCAACCATAAACAAAAAAGACGTGCTAGCTTAGCTATCTTAAATCATACATTTTGTCTAATTTTTTGTTTACATAAATTTTTTTTCTCCAAATATTCATTAACAGAAGGAAAATCTTGGGGCGATATTTATTGGGGTATATGAATGGAAGTCAGGGCTAAACAAAGGTGATAAAACAAAGGTACTCAAACTATCACACAAGGAGCAAACTCGTAGCAATGGTTTTAAATTAGACAAATTTAGATTTAGGGGCAAGATAGGTAAACATTGGTTTGGAAATAGAGTAGTGGATGAGTGGAACAAGTTACCAAACATCATCATTAACTCGAATACGCTGGATAGCTTCAAACATAGGTTGGATGGACATATAAGCGATAGGGGTTGGGTGTAAACGGGACTGCCCAGTATGGGCCAATAGGCCTGCTGCAGTTTCCTCCATTCTTATGTTCTTCAGGCAACTAGACAGAATATATGATTACCAATGAGAAAAAACTGCATTGCTCCTTATTCTAACCACCTTGAACCATTGCTGAAAAGGGGCTTTCAAGTGAGAAAAAGGCAGATGATAATACAGTGCAAGTAACAATACAAACACAACAATATAGATGGAGGTAAAGTACTGTATTTCAGATGCTATTGAGCATTTTTTATCACTCATTTGTTTGAGATTGATGAATCCTCACAAGCAACACCAAGATAATCCAGCTTGTGTATTTAGTTGATTATAGGAATACATACGTACTGTATTATGCAGAATAAAGTGTTCATACTTCAGTATAGATGAATGAAATACTATAAAACCATTCTATTGTGGTTATTTTAGAGTTACAGTACTCAAAAAATTTGAAATGAAAAAAACATATTCAATAGTTAAAAAGATATCAAATTATTGAAACATGATGAAGATAACTATTCTGTAATTTTTTTAATTTAATTGAAAAGAAGTCTGAGCTAATTTTCAACAATATAACCTAAAATAAGTAAATATGAATGAATACTTTTGAACATATTAAACAATAGAAAAATATTCATTTAGTGCATAAAGGGCTCAAAAGCGGATATATCAGATAATTCTTTTATACTGACACCCCAGCTTGGCACAAAGTTAAATGAATAAGTGAAGTTCTAGTGTGTCCACAGGATATGTCTGTGATCATAATGTGTAACTAATACACACATTCCACAATACGTTAAATCACAGCCATTCAATACAACAATCACTTCCAATTCAACATAACTTGTCAAACTGCCCATACATTCATGCTCTAAGCAACAGACATCTAATGGAATGAACTATGATGGGCCATGTTATTCATGTCAAAAAATTTTAAAGTAACTTCATAAAAAGGCATTGTCACTTTGCATATATTTTAAGTTACTTTTTTTTTCAATAATTAAAAATTAAACTCACTCTGCCTCACCTCTTTGTACACATTACTTCTAAAAACCTTGACTGAACCTCAACTTTTGTCAATGTTAAGTGGGACTAAGTCCCCTTTATTTAACTCACTAGCTATATCGTAGATTAAAATGTTACATGAATAATGCTATTATTTGATATTAACTCATTTATTTTACCCATCACAAATCCTGTAGACCATACACAGATAATGCATTCTTGTCAGATGCGTAACATTAAGGCCAGAAAATTTAAAACTAAATGAAATGAGTTAAAAGAACTGCACACGCATCTATCTCTCATTACAATTTATTCTTGAGAAATTTATCAGTGTAAAAATAAAACATGCATTAAGAGTTAGAAAGGCTTGAGTACATGAGCTGTGTATGACATTAGTATTCCACCATTAGAGAGGATTAAAAGGCTGACCTTCTGTACCTTTCGCCCAACATTAGTGCTCCTTGCCCTTTGATGTAGTTTACCATTCACACAATAACAAATTATGTATCAACCTAAAGACTTGAAAACACCTTACAATGACTATTGTAAAGCCCATATTCTCAAGATGCATTTGAGTGCACTGATACCCTGTAATGCATTCTTGTAAAGTCACAGCACATAGATTTATTTGCCAACTTTTGGCAAGACACACCACACATGCTGTAAGAACTGTCAATATCAAATGAGCAGTATCTTACATAAATTCTCTTTGATATTAATTTGCATCAGTGTATTCAAATCCTTAGAATTACTACCTAAAGATGAGCCTGGTTACATTAATAGAAGCAGCTCAAGGTAAGAATGTATATAATATCTCCGACACAAATTTCTTCCTGTCACCACATAATCTCAATAACAACTTCACTAACAAGATGAAAATACAGTACCATGGTTTGAAATATCCAGACAATTGCTACTGGTCCATCCCTTACATAATTTAACCATCACATGCCAGAGCAAGCGTGTATCCTTTGTCTTGTATCAAACCAAAACACTGCTGGATGGTCCGGTGTCGTGCGATCCACTGTATTTGACACTGACCTGTTGATAAACCTAGGCAACTTGTGATGGTTGACACAACCTCTTCATCAACAATTTCTGAAAAAATTATGATCCATTTTACAAGGAACGTAATACACTACAGAAAAATAATACTGTGCTACACTCTAATACCCCCAAGTTTATATACATATACAGTCAACCCTCACTTTACGCGGTCCCACATTCCGCGTTTCCACGTTTATGCGGTGCCCTGCCAGAACCCAGGATGCTCACATTCCGCGGTGGGTGTACCCCTTTACACGGTGAAGTATAATTTTTTTATTTAGCTCATAAAATTCATACAAATTATCCGGCCAGAATATAATTTACATTGCTGGAATTCTTACAATTTGATGATCATTTTGAATATAAACATCATAGATTTTGCATTAGACATACAAATTTTAGATATAATGTTTACTCTTGAGTAAATATGTTATCTTTTGTGCAAAATATATGATATTTATATTCAAAATATTCCTGGTCTTACAAGGAATCCAGCAATGTCAATTATATTATCCTAACTTTAGTCTGATTTATTATTTATTACTAAAAAGGTAAACAGTCTGGTATTCCCACACATTTATCTAGTAGGGACATTGGTGGGGGGTGGGGGGGAGGGAGGGACCGGCGACCGACCATCTGTTACCGTGTGAAGAATATTTTTTTTTTATTAACTTAAGATTTTTATTTTAGCTCATAAAATTCATACAAATTACCCGGCCAGAATATAATTTACATTGCTGGAATTCTTACAATTTGATGATCATTTTGAATATAAACATCATATATTTTGCATTAGACATAAAATTTTTAGATAAAATGTTCATTCTGAGTAAGTATGTTATCTTTTGTGCAAAATATATGACGTTTATATTCAAAATATTCCTGGTCTTACAAGGAATCCAGCAATGTCAATTATATTATCCTAACTTTAATCTGAGGTATTATTTAATACAAAATGTTAAAATTTATTTTTTTCACCCAACCTTTCTCTTGAAAGGAGGATTGGTGGGGGGTGGGGGGGAGGGTTGGGACTGACCGTGCGGTTGGAAGAGGGGGGGAGGCAAGGTGGGGTACTTTGATTGACAGATAGTGTCGTGAAGAATATTTTTTTTTTATTAACTGAAGATATTTGTTTTAGCTCACAAAATTCATACAAATTACCCGGCCAGAATATAATTTACATTGCTGGAATTCTTACAATTTGGTGATCATTTTGAATATAAACATCATATATTTTGCATTAGACATACAAATTTTAGATAAAATGTTTAATCTGAGTAAATATGTTATCTTTTGTGAAAAATATATGACATTTATATTCAAAATATTCCTGGTCTTACAAGGAATCCAGCAATGTCAATTATATTATCCTAACTTTAGTTTGAGGTATTATTTATTACTATACCTGGTTTTCCCCCCAAAATTTCTCAGAGGGAAGAGCCAGCAGTGTAGTGTGAGAAGAGGGGGAGGGAGTCGTGTCCATTATTTGAATGGACATTAACTTGGCGACTGTATTTCTCTATTTCTCTTAAGTATTAATTGTGTGCATGTACCATCATAAAATTAAGATGTTATTTTTACTAGAACATAGGTATTGTGTTGGAAAAAGTGGAGTTTGGGGGTCAGCTGGTCTCTATTTCATTTAATCCCATATGTTATGTTATTCACTTTACGCGTTTCTCACTTTCCGCGGTACCCTGTGGGTTACATTAACCGCGTAAAGTGAGGGTTGACTGTATATAAAAAAAAATAAAATTGCATCTACAATTATGACAAAACCATCTTTTCGTATATAGTTTTATGACCAAGGAATGCCTCTTTCCCAATATAGCACACCCTTAAAATTCGCGAACTGTTAAAACCGCTAATATCATTTGCTGACTAGGGAGGGAGGGGGGGGTGTTGCTGTTATTTTTTTACCCATGTGCAAAGAAATGTATACTGTACAGTATTCCCTTTATGTGTTTGCCCTTAGGACAATTATTTATTTTTACATGTACCCTGTACTGTGTAGGTGTAGCCACACACACACCCATACAAATAAATAATAAAGGGAAAATCCTCTCACAAATACCTTAATCAGAAACAAGGAAACAAAATGTATAAAAATTTAGAAAAAATGAGTCTACCCTCAAGTCAACTCCATGCTTTGTTATTAAAGTTGGGTTGGTTGGGTTGCCATACAGCTATCTTTTCTTCGTAAAAATTACTGTCTCTAGAATGAATGGCATCTGAGCGCCAGCTGGGGTTGATACGGAGACCAAACTTAAAAAATTTGGTAATTGTGGTGTAATACTGTACTTTTTTCACAATATGTATGTAGGATAGAGTGTGCATATAAATGAGTAAAGATAAATGAAGACAGTTACGTATACAGTATCTACCCGAAAATACGAGTTGAAAAACAACCATAACTCCTCACAGCCAAAGTTTTCTTAAAATAATATATACAGTACCAGGAAATGTGAGGAATTAATAAAAATGATACCAATAAGTAAAAAAAAAAAAAAACCTATTGCCAAACCAGTAAATAAAAGCCAAATGAAAGTTTAACACAGTCACCATTTGCATACACTAACTGCTCCACCATAGTAACAAAGATCAGATCAGCTGGGATGCCAATTCTCTAGCAACACTCCCCACCAGCTCTCCTCCTGTTACATGTTTGCCCTTAGGACAATTATGTCTTTCATCTTTTTTCATAATATGTATTTAGGATGGTGTGTACATGTAACCGAGTAAAAATAAATGAAGAAACTTACGTATATCTACCCAAAAATACGAGTTGAAAAAACCATAACACCTCACAGCTTGACCCAGTAGCCTGGTGGTTACAATGCCATGACTAATCACTATTAAACACTATTCTATCAGTAAACACCAATAATAACAGTAACTCCAGGGAAATATGGCAGTGGGGAGAGTTACAACTGCAAACGACTCACTAACTAGCAGTCACTCACTCTCCTTGCCAGACACAGCCAGGCATACATATGGAAGAAATACAGTACATGACTTTCTTTTCTCTCTTCACTTGTTTGGGAGCCATCACAAGCACAAGGAGCACAGTTGTTAAGAGAGCAGAGTAGCACATGCGCAAAATGAACAAGTGTCTAACCCAGACTGTCACTGTGCCGGAGTGAGTTCACATGGCCCAGCCACCTGGGACAAGAGAGACACTTTGCGGGATGCCATAAAATTTGCAGGCTCCCCGTCCCGGCCGTGAAAATGCCACCAACTTTAAAACTACCTGTAAGGGGATGCTGTACAGTACCTGCAACCTATTCACCACTAATCTTGGTAAGATAATGTATAAAAATAAAACATTTGAAGAGAAGTATAAAAATAAAACATTTGAAGAGAAAATACGAAGTTACACATGCTTTCTAACTATTCTTTTCATACCCCAGGAGGAAGGAGGAAACCAGAGTCATTCACTCTGTCTGTAATAATGTACAGGTATTTTCCTAGTGTGAATTATAATAACAAAAAGCCATGACAGATAGAAAAATTACATGATAATCAACTACTCTGTACAGGTGGACCATAATTTTTGGTGCCCAAGATCAAATCCATTAAGAGGATGCAACTTCATTTTTGCAACCATTTTCAAATGAAGACATTGCCTGGTGAAAACTGTATTCACCACAATGTTGCTACATTTAGAGACAGTGGCACATTGCATAAACAAAACAAAAGGTTATCAGGTTGGAAAAAGACTCTGCATAATGAGAACACTGAACCAATCAGAGAATCAGTCACCCAGAGTCCTAGGAAATATGCTCACCAGCACTCTCAAGAAATGGGTTTTTTGAAGTCTAGTGCAGTGATAATTTTAAAGTAATACCTGAAACTATACCCAGATACAGTAATGTGAAAATCTAACACCAACTTACAGATGCAGAGAAGATGTTTAGTGAAATGATGGAGGCTGACGAGGACTGGATAAACCAAATCTGGTTTTCTGATGTGGCCCACTTCCATTTGAATGGGGTGATAAGCATTCAAAACTATCACTTCTGGGGTAGCAAATTTCTGAATGACCAAGTCACTCAAAAACCACTTCAGTGTTAAATGCAATGCTTTGGTTACTATGAATGCTAATACAGGCATAACAATTTTGTTTTAAACACCCTGTACAGTAACCTGGCAAGAAGAACATAAGAATACCACCACATCTCCATAAATATCCAACTTCCAGAGAAATAAAGGTCATATTCATTTATAACAGAAAAAATGCATAAAAAAGCTATTTTAGTACAGGCTGGACCTCGACAATCCGAGAAGCTTGTGACCAGACAGGTTCCGGATTAACGAAAATTCTGAATCATCGAAGCCGAGGTTAAAAACGGCAAAATAATACATAAAATATACTATTACTGTCTAATTTCTTCAGTATTGACACATTTTCTAAAATATTTTATATCACATGTTTGTTTCACTGCATTACAACCACTTCCACTGCTTACTGGTCTCTTAGGAGGCATATTTAAGGGTAAATTATAAGTATTTAAAGGTAAAATAGTGGCAACAGCCACTAGTGAGCTATGACACCGTTCCGAACCATCGAAGCTGCCAGACTATCGGGTCCCAGATTAGCTGGGTCCAACCTATATTCAATTTCCTGCTATGGCATAAAACGAATCTTTACCACTGGTTGCCCCTAATGGTAAAAGACCGGTGACCATTAAGCTACCTTGATGGGCGTCCATTAAAAAGGTAGGAGATACAACTAATGCCATACACCATATTCTGAGGGAACTGCATAATCTGGTGTATGGTACAGGGAGAGTACAAGAAAACTGGAAAATGGGTACAATAAATAATGCACATGAACTTCAATGCACAAAAGTGACTCTCCCTGGACCACACTCCTGAGTTATGGTTATGGCCTATTGGATACAGCTAGACAGATTGTACAGTCATAGATAATTAAATTTTTCATTTAAGCTTACATAAGGTAGAGTATTTACCTGCAGGGTCATTGTGGGTCAGCACCTGAATATCATGCTGTTGAGCAAAAGTTGATAACTCTTGGGGCACAATGCAGCAAGAAGAAAGATTCACCTGCATTGTCGTGGGTTTAACCTGCAAAAAAATATTGGACTGGTTGTTTTACCTCTGAGACAAAATGAAATTACTGTAGATGTTTTAAATGAAAGATCATACGTATAAGAAAAAAATTTGTCCAGCAGTTTTACCTTAGAGATAAAATAAGACAAGTACTGTAGTTTTATTTATAAGACAAAATAATCCTGGTTGGTTAATCTGTATGACAAAACAGAACTGGTTGTTATACTTGTAAGGCAAATAAACTTGGTTGGTTTAGTATTGGATAATGTCACTATTAAAGTACAGGTACAACTGTATTAAGAAACTATAAGATTTGGTAATACAGTCTATGTCTATACTGCTACCTGTTTATTACTGCATCTTTACTCCTCTACCACTTTATGTGAGGTTGATTATATGGATACAAAACCCTCAAGCAAGAGGAGAACCGTAAAAAGAGTGCTACAAGTATAGCATAGAAAGTGAAAAGAAAAAATTTAAAGAACAATAAAATTACTCTGAAAACAAACCTTATCACAAACCTGTACTTTATACCAATTCACTAAGTTTGTTATACCAAGATGTTAGTGTCATTCATGCTAACACAATCTTGTACAAACTGACTCTACTGTACAGTATACAGTGGTCCCTCGGTTAACGAACACAATTCGTTCCACAGAGTCGTTCGTTAACCAAAAAATTTTGCTAACCGAATCTATTATTTCAATGGGATATTGGGTAATTGGGTCCAACTTACAGGAAAAGTATACATATAAAGTACTGTATACCGGTAATAAAATTAACAAAACATTAAATATAAACTAAACACAGTACTGTACTGTACAATATACTGTATAATAATAAATAAAAAAACAATAGAATACTGTATTTTAATTTACTTTGAGGTGCGTACGTCGTATTCCCGGCAGCTTTGTTTACATATCAAACAGCTGATTGTAGAGGCAGTCAATGATGACATGCCATATTCTTTACGGAGTGCATTGGTTCTAATGCTGTTTTTCTGTTTCATAATAATTTCTGCACTGTATATTTTAATGTAAAAATGCAAAAATATTCAAGAGACCAACAAAATCAATGTTCACTCCACTGTAAACAAAGTTAAATTGAGATGCGTTGTTGGGTGATTCAATCAGCTGATGGGCGCACAAAAACTGTTCCCTGTACTGTATATATTATCAATATGTTAACTAAATTAGAATGACCAATAATTTTAATAAAAAAATGCCAAAATATTCAAGAAACCAACTTTCTTAATATTTACTTCACTGGAAACGAATGTAAACATAGAACCAATTAGTGTATTAGCGGACTAGCCCATCAGCTGATCAGCTGATGCGCACAACAAGACGTGTTTGTCGTAAGGATTTCGTTAATCGAACTGAAAATCTTTATGGGAGCTAATTCATTCACCAAAATTTTGTTAATCGAACCGTTCGTTAACCGAGGGACCACTGTATAATCTACAATCATTTGGTGTAAGTAAAAGTGCATCTCGTAGATCTGAAGGCATATAATGGTCAGCGTGGATATGGCACTCTGAGGACTATGCCTTCAGTAAACAAGGAGACAACATGGCTGGAGTTGCACCCTCCTGCCTTTCACTTCCCAACTATAAAGTAAGCTATGCATTCAGCAGCTCGGTAGACTGGAGGTGCCTCACTCTGTTACCAGCCACAGAACTTGAACCAGTAAGGCAGGTAGAAATGAGGAACAAATTACAGGCTATTTTAAATCTTTTAAGATGATTACCGGGTAGGTACAGTATGTTTAAATTGTTCATATTACACAAAAAGATATCCAAATTGTTTACTTTCAAGATTTTTCCTTCTTTAATATCTACTTCTAGATCCAATATCTCGTGATTTTAATACAGTACATCACGTGTACCCTATGATATTAATTATACATAGTAACAAAAGCTGGTGCGGTAGATTAAAAGTCCCTGGGATATTAGATTCCTCTAATTTCATGTTGCCTGAGCACTTTTTGTACAGAGTAGAACAGATGTTACACCCCATGAGGATTTAGGGAAATACAGTATTACAGTACTGAACTTTTCCTTGTGGGGGGCATTTGAAGTCAGTTGTCTATATTCAACATTCAAGAACCATCACTGAACTGAAAAAGAGTTTTCAAAATCCATGTCAGAGTGTTAAGACAAGTTCAGGCATCTTTATTTAATTGATTTGAAAGGTGCTATGAAGTACATAGCCAATAATTTGAACCTCAATTGGGAGTTGATGCAATTCCTTTTTTCCTTTTTTTTTAGAATATACAGGATAGTAAACACAATATATTTATTTTTCATCATTAATACCATTGTTACAAAATCCTTGTACAATTTCATCATGCACTTTTTCTGCTACCTGCCAAATTCTCGTATACAGTACATGTACTAATATTTTTCTACCATATTTCCATTTGTCATCAATCTTTCCTCAACTTCCTAATAATATAAAGCTTGAGCCCTCACGTTCATGTAGGAGTGCACCAGATATCAGATTTTGCTATCCGGCTGCATGCCAGAAAACCAGAACTTCAAAAAATATTTAGCCATATAGTACCAGATTATTAAAAATGCTTATAATTTCTCCCAACATTTGATCTTCACTACTATACTTGAGGCAGCATTTCTTCATTCTTCTCTGAAAGCATCACAAACTAGTCAGTTACCTACTCGCAAGTACATATCATGTGCAGTACACCTTTTGAAAAAAAAAAAATTGGCAGTCACATTAGGATTGAAAATAAATCAAACTTTTCTTTTCACATCAACCGCTAAGTTAGCTCTTCATTACGAGCTGCAACCTAGTGCTCATGTACAGGTGTGTACAGTAGTTTGATTAAATTACTAAAAGTGCATTACAGTATAACTGACAATACTTTATATGCTAATTAATCATTCTAAAAAACTACCAACTCTATTGATTATAAGATCTAGCTCAGGCAAATATAATAATGGTTTGAAGTTGCAACATTCTTCATATAAATATGAAATTGATCCATAATCAACAGAACACACCAAACCAACACTTGCTAAGCTAACTCATGCATCAAAATTCACCAAATGTTTCTGTATTTAATTTTTTTAAGTAATGTTTTAATTCACTTAAAATATCACATGTACTGTAAGTAGTGGCACCAGTGATTGATCCTCCCTTTAAACTGCAGTTTTTCTGCATGGATAACAGAGAGCAAGGAAGAAGTAGAGAGCAGTCTGAGTAAACAGCTTGAGATGACAAAAGGAATGGGAAAAAATAGCAGTGACAGTGAAAAGCTCTGTACTCTGTATGCCCATCACCAAGTTTAAAAAGCCAGGGAAGAAGGTCTACAGGGCTCGCATCGTGTAAATAGCAGGTGCAGCTACAAACACATCAAGTGAGAGAGGGTAAAGTGGAAGTAAGACATCTATAAAAGTCAGTGTCCTTTGTTGAGCCTGTGAAAGTTAACCACTATGTGAAACTTCCCCTCTTGAAAGACAAGAAATACCCCCTGGAGTACTGGAGTGAAGAAAATAAATTCACAATGCTGAAGCAACTCACTGTGACAATACCATATCTTTAGAGTACCTAACCTAACCTAACCTAACCTACCTGTCACCCACCAAGCTAACATTGCTCTGAGGGTGCCTCAGGCCAATCACAGTGACCTGTGAGTGTGACGTCATGGGCACAAGGGATTGACTGGCCAAAAACTAGCGTCACCTATCCAGCCACAAGTGTGCCTAATTTTCAAACGAGAGTCTGTGTTTGGTGGTTACATATTTTATGGCATACAAGATGCACCCCCCCATTTTAGCAGGGAGTATTTACCAAAAAACTTTTGTGTGTATTTTCCTCCTGTAGCCATAGTTTTCCTAAAATAATATACTGTATACAGTACCAGTATATGTGAGGAATAAATAAAAATAATACCAATAAATAAGGTACAACAAAAAATACTGTACTGTATTGCCAAACCGGTAATTAAAGCCAAATGAAGTTTAACACAATTACCATTTGCATAATTAGTCCCTGGCTCACCATAGCAATGCAGACGCCACCTCTGCCAACTCCCTAGCAACGCGCCGCCCCCCTCCCACGTCCCACCTCCACCCGCTCCCCCACTGAGCTAGCCAGCTAACTCAGGTGTACAGACATGTATATTCCCTTTCCATGTTTCCCCTTAGGACAATTATTTCTTTTACTTTTTCACAATATGTATGTAGGATGGTGTGTGCATGTATAACCGAGTATAAATAAATGAAGAAAGCTAAGTAAATCTATCCGAAAATACAAGATGAAAAACAGCCATAACACCAGTAGCCTGGTGGCTATAGTGCCGAGTCTAACCTGGCTACAATGCTGCCAGCAATGTTAACAGATGCAAATGTGAAGAGAAAGTTATATGTAAATCTTTATTTGTATCAGGTATTTGTAGTTTTAAAAATAAATGTTGCAGGTATGGCATGAGTAGACTGTAATGCTTGTAGGAGTTAAGAAATGGTTACTGCTTAGCTACCTCTGAAGAATTGGGTGTCTGCCATATGGATGTTAATCGTCTCAGGTTATTGTCATCAGTACAGTATTGTACTGTAGTTATAAATCAAGCTTTTATAATGACAATAATTATTTTTTAATTAATTAAAAATAATAATAGTGTTTAAGTAAGCAATAACATATTTTTAATTCTGGAATTGGGTTAGGTAGAATTTGGCCAACTGGAGACAGCAACTGGGGGATTCATTAGCTTACAGGAGACCTCAACTTCACATACAATACGCAGGCTGATTTTTTTAGCTTTTTTCAGACATAAAAGTGCGTATTATATGCTGTAAAATACGGTAAGTGTAGACCAGTATGTGGGTAGGTGGATTCAACATGGCAAAATTTATTTAAGTAAGTGTACCCTGTGATAAACTCCCTTTATGCGAGGTTATATTGTGAAGCTACCTAGGAGTGCAAACTATTGTTTGAAGTGTATTCAACAAACTTAATAGAAAGTGTTCAATAAATACAGTAACTGGTAAGAAGAGTCATAATTCATCCTTCCCTTACTGAGTGAAGTTGTGTTGTGTCTTTGTGTTATACAGTGTAACAGTGAACTATGAGTGACTACACAACTATCACATATTTCCTGTGTGTTTACGGTATGTTATTGTGTTAGCCCTATTCCCCAGTTATCATCCTTTTCCTCCATCTCCCCTCCTCTTGGTTACCAGGCCGACCCTCTGGAGGAGTGACCACAGGCAACTACCCACCTCCCTCTCCTACATTCCTCCCTACCTCCACCACCTCACCCCCTAAGACTATAAAAAAAGAAGGATTATATTAAGAAAAGAGAGGTAAAAAATTATAAGTAAATAATAGAAAATAAAGGCTAAAGACAAATAGAGTAAAAGTAAGTAAATAGAAATAAGAAATAAAATAAAGGAAATAATATCACATTTTATTACATATTTCAATTTACTGTATACAGTCGGCCCTTCATATACGCGGGTTTAGCATTCACGGATTCGCAAATACGCGGATTGCCCCGCCAGAGGAATATTCTGTACATTGAAGTAATTGAAGTACATTCAAATCGCGCGCCATTCAACTCGCGCGCGGCACCGAACAAGGGACACCGCCCGCTCCCGCAACCTCACACACACACGCATAGCTCTCCCTCACTCAGTCAAGTCTCGCTGTAACCACGCTTGTGTTGACATCAGCATTGTAGTTGCAAAAATATTACATTTCCGTGAATGTATTATATCAAGCACAGTATGAATAGAATATCACTAATATAAGAGTATTTTAACCGAAAACTACTAAAAAAACGAGTAACATATCTTGAACATCGGAAGGCTAGGTAAAGTCTTTTGTTTTCATGTAGTTTATCCTAATTTACATTGAAATGCATTACGTTTCAGCAAAACTACTATTTATTTCTGAGAATATGGAAATGTAATATTTTGCTGAAATGACGTACGTATTACAGTGGAAAGTGACGAAAGCAATGACTCGCTTTCTTTCGTTCAAAAGATGTTACCGTAATCGCTTTTCGAATGGTTTTCAGTTAAAAAACTGTTGTATTACAATAATATTCTATCCTAATTCACTTGTGATGCAACAGTTTTTTAACTGAAAACCATTCGAAAAGCGATTACGGTAACATCTTTTGAACGAAAGAAAGCGAAAGTCATTGTTTTCGTCACTTTCCACTGTAATACGTACGTCATTTCAGCAAAAATATTACATTTCCGTGAATGTAGTATATCAAGCACAGTATGAATATAATATCATTGTAATATAACAGTATTTTAACCGAAAACTATTAAAAAAACGAGTAACATCTCTTGAACATTGGAAGGTTAGGTAAAGTCTTTTGTTTTCGTCATGTATTTTATCCTATTTTACATTGAAATACATCACGTTTCAGCAAAACTACTATTTATTTCTGAGAATATATTCATTCAGGCACAGTTTAGGTAAAATATACATGTGCTGTAACATTTTTTTAATTGAAAACGATTCGAAAAACACGTACCCTCTAGCCCTGTTCAAGGAGAAGACTGGGAGGAGCTGTTTGGTGCTTAAGACGATGACAAGGAAAATGATTTTGATGGATTTTAATGAAAATATTCAGAAAGACCCTGGCACTGTCAAGGAAAGTGGCTGCTGAAGGCTTCCGGGACATGGCAGAGGACGAGATTAGGGAGCTAATTGAAGAGCACGACACTGAGCTGACCGAGGAGGATCTACAGGAGTTAGTAGACTCAGGCAAGGAAGAGGAAGCGAAAGGGAAAGAGGATGAGGAAGAGCACCAAGAAATAACGTTGGAGAAGTTGGGGGAGATGACCAGGAATATTGAGGCACTGAAAAACCTGGCCTATAGTATGGGCCCCTCCATGGTGCGTGCCCTGAAATTCATGCGAGGGATGGATGACGTTTTCGCTCCATACAAAAACATCATGGAAGAAATGAAAGAAAGAGACAACAACTCCCCATCACCATGTTCTTTGATCACCGAAGGAGAGATTTAACACCATCAATCACTGGCGACAGTGAGGAAGCAGCTGAATCCACAGTCGCCCCCACTTCACCACCTGTTATGGAATTGAATGACCATGAGCCCGATGATCCCCGCCTTGTCGCCGAGGAGAGGTACGGTACAGTAAAGTTAAATTCTTATCTCTTTTTTTTTAATAGCTTTTCTTGCCATGTTTATTGTTTGTAAAAATGCACAGCACAGTGCAGTTCAGTACAAGTACTGTACATAGGAAGTGGAGGTGCAGTTATTCACAAAGCATTTGTGTTTGTTGTCGGCAGTAGTGACGGTGCGGAGGGAGGGGAGGGAGCGAGTTGGGAGGAGTGGTGAGGTGACCTTGGATGCAGGAGCAGGGACGAGTGGAGATGCCAGCCAGTATATTTCGGGTGTATTAATTGTTTTTATAGCTATTTTTGCATTTTAATATTAAATACTGTACATTACGTTTCAACAAAACTACCATTTATTTCTGAGAACATAGAAATGTAATATTTTTGCTGAAATGATGTACGTATTACAGTGGAAAGTGGGATAAAATTGTGACGCAAGCAATGACTCTCTTTCTTTCGTTCAAAAGATGTTGCCGTAATCGCTTTTCGAATGGTTTTCAGTTGTGGGATTATAAGGCTAATGATAGGATAGAATATTATTGTAATACAGTACGAGTACAGTACAACAGTTTTTTAACTGAAAACCATTCGAAAAGCAATTACGGTAAAATCTATTGAACAACGAAAGAAAGCGAAAGTCATTGTTTTCATAATTTTATCCCACTTTCCACTGTACAGTAATATGTACGTCATTTCAGCCAAAATATTACATTTCCATATTTATTTCTGAGAATATATTCATTCAGTCAGTTAAGGTAAAATATACTTGTGATGTAATATTTTAATGAAAATACGGTATCGTAGTTTTCTTTTGTATCAAATTTAATTAACAAAGATTGATGTTTCAAATGTAATGAACAAAAATTTATGTACAGTACCACACCATGCATTTGGCTACTTTGGGCTAGCTATGATGACGCAAGAGATCTGCCCTGGCGACTATACCAACACTCACAGCTGGTGGTGCGTTGGTGCATCGTTTCCATTGTTTACTGGTAGTTACTGGTAAATATTTTTCAACCTAACGAAACTATTACCCTTATAGAGGTCGACCCCTAATTTTTTGCAAAATAATTTGGTCTTAAAAACTCGAACTACACACAGGTATATGGTAAATAAGGACATGGGGGGCCAGGGGTTTTTTAGGGGGGCAGCAAAAGTACACGGATTTTTAACATTCACGGGTATCTCTGTTACCTAACCCCCGCGTATGTTAAGGGCCAACTGTACTTACTTTTACTCCATTTCTCTTTACCCTTTTGTCACCACCAGCATTATCTGTTTCCTCTGAGAGAATGTATTTTCAGTATGGGAACATGTATGAAGAAAAATGTTCTTGATTGCTGCCTCATCAAAGTGAAATGTTACTCTTCATTCACCATAATGGTTTCAAGTTGGATTTGGTTATTATAATTTTAAGCACCAAGATATTTTCATATTTTACAATGTGTCAGTGTGAAGTAAAAGAATAATTTTCATTTAAAACTAAATATAATTCACTATCCTTTAGTATTGTCAGTTCATAACGGTTACAATATCTATTATGATAATATAGCTTTAAATACCGGGATTTTTTTTTTGTGTGTGAGTACTGTATATCAGCTTGAAGTGGAATATTTTAATTTAAAAATAAAATTAGATAATTTTTTTAACCACCCCCTTCTTTTTTGCTATGGGCACCTCTTTGGATTTTGTTGTAGATAAGGCCAAAAGGAAAACCCCTAGCAACCAAATACCTAACACCTTATTTTCCGGCCAGATACTGAATACCGCATGCAGTATTTGCCTTGATCCAGCAGGATACCTTATCTGGTGAACCATTAATGTTAAGCCACTCATGGGAAATACCTCTGATCTCTTTGATGTAGAAGTGTGTGCTGTATGTTAGGATGCTATAACCAACCTACCTGTGGGAGCTGTTGTCTGTGCCTCCAAAAAATTAAAGTTTCTTATTCCTTCTGATATAATTTTCAATACAGAATAAGAGATTGTATCCAAGTTATTAAAGGTGTTATTTACCCTAAAAAGGTCATAAAATCAACTAAAAAGAAATACTGTACAGTCATCGTACCTTGGCCCATTCATACAGTTCAGTAAAGAGACGAGTGGAGACATCTGCCAAACCAATACCAGTCACAACGCCCCTGTTAACTGCATCTTCTAGAGCCTGCCACATTGGTTCCAAGCTCTCAAGTGTTGCATCATCACTAACATCAGGAGGAGTTACAATAACCGAGTCGATGTGAGGTAAATCCAGGCCTGTAGTTACTGTCCGAAGAAGAGAAGTCAAAGAGAGATATAATGGGTACTGTTCTCACCAAAGCATAAACACTTGTATCAACTGCACAATGTTTTTTTCAAGGATGCAGTAATGGAACATCAGATTAGGTTATATCATTACATTAATGATGAGTGAGGGTATAAACAAAAGAATGACCAAAGATATGAAAGGAAGGATACACTGAGGGTACATAGGTGCAAGTGGAACCTCAAATTTTTGTCGCAAACCTCTAAATTACTACTACTGAACTGTACATTAAACAACAATGAATGTTTAAAAGGGTGATAATTAGATGTAAAAAATCAAACAAAATATACAGTTTACAGATGGTACAATGGGCCATTAAATACAAATTCAGCAATCTAATAGTAAAGAGACCATGATGTGAATCTAAAAGAGAAATGTGAACTCAAGAGATTAAACTAATACCTGTACTATTGTATTTACATATTGTATATGGTAAATACAACAAGCTGTAACAACACTGACATTTCAGTAGACAGTATTTACCAGTTTTGATGGCATCCTCAACCTGCGAGGAATCAGTATTACTGAGGAAAAGCTTCACAGTGGTCTTGGTGCCAGAGTTTTCTTTAGGAGGTACGTTGTTTAAACTTCGCTGGATGGTGAGCACATCACCATTCTGAGCTTCTGCTTTACGCCCTTCCCAATTATTCAAAGTTTTTTTTATACTGCCTCGTAGCTGAAAGTTCAAATTTCTGATTAATACAGTGGATGAGCAACACTTTCACATCTGGAAGAAAAACGAGGGACTGATCCTGAACTCCCATATTAGAATAAAGAATGGTCATAAGATTCATTAAAACTTCCCTAAGGAAAATTCCTTAGTCTAGGTGAGAAAGCCTCCTAACCTAACATGTATGTGCCAGAATACTGCTAGAAAATTAACTAATCAACCAAAATATTAACATCCGAGAGCTTAAATTCTACTAACCTCAAAGCTAAAGAAAAGATCAGATCTTATCTAGCCATGGGGAAGCCATACCATAACTTGGAGCTCTCCAATCATTAGGGATAAAACAGGCTGAAATGCATCATCTACAGACTGTCACCTATGATACCTGTAATTGGTGTTGTGGATCTAACCTGGTTGCATTCAGGATGAATGCAAATGCAGCCTGCCTATCTGAAAACAATTACTAAATTCCTTGATACAGCTCATAATCAACAATGTGTTCAACGCAATAAAATTAACTTCATTATATTACATATTCAAATGATGAAAGAAATAATAAAAAAAAAATGTAAGCAAACAATTCATTGTAATTCAAAAGGACAAATGAAAAGTAATGGGGCATACCACTAAAATCTCTCCTAAGGGATCTTGATATTGGGCCTTGGAATTAGTACAACTCACATCTCAAAATTTCTTAAACTGCAAATGTTGAATAACTTAGTTCCTATTGGCTGATGTCCACATCCTATGAGAGAATCCAATATGTTCAATATATCCTCTGAACAAAAAGGAGCATGTAATATATACAAAAGAGCATACGGTATTACAAGCAGATCTTTTTTACTTTTATCCTCTTCACCACGGATCGGCCCATTAGCCGCTTGGGCGATCGGTCACATCTCTGTTACTTTTCCTTTTCTTTTATCCTCTTCACCAAATGATCGGCTCGTTAGCCATTTGGGCAATCGGTCACGTCTCTGTTGCGTACTGTTGGCAAGTACTGGGCATGCACCGGCACCTGAATGTACCTGAACCTGCTCCAGTGTTGGTCAAGTCTGGTCTTGAAAGAGCTCACACACGGTGCCGTCACAACACTTTCTGGTAGATTGTTCCACGAGTTCGCAGCTCACTCCGAAAAAGTTTTCCTTCACAGTTTTCTGGACTTGCGACTTCTTCAATCTTGAGCTGTGACCCCTTGTGGGGTGAGCGTCCGCAAGCTCCAAGTAAGGACAGATCTGATAACCCCTGAGTTGGGATACCCAGCATAAGTACAGTACAGTACAGGTACTTATATCTGTCAATGACCTTAACCATGATATGATATGATAAATTCTATGAATAATTCTTTTTTTATAATGGCTAACTTTGAATGTCATTCCAAATATCATTGAACTTCTTTTGTGGCTAACAGAATGAGATTGACTGTTTGTGCTTCTTGAAGAGTAATTTCATGAACAACTTTTCATGTGTGCGTGACTGTGGCTTGTGTGCACAAATGATTTTATACTATTATTTTTTTCACAGGTCATTCAAGTGTTCGCTTTAGGTTTTTGTTGAATGTGGCTTCCAAATGGCATTAAATATAGAATTCTTATTTTTTATAATAGCTAACTTTGAATGCCATTCCAAATGTCTGAGAGTTTCTTTTATGGCTAACGGAATAAGATTAATTAAAATTTTGCTTGTTTAATCATATTATGTACCTATTTTTACACCAGTATGCAAGTTAATAAAGAGAACTTTGCTTCAATGTAATATAATTTATCAAATCAATTGCCTATCAAATAATCTACAGATACTACACTAATGAAGTATGTAGGGTTAGCATATAGCATTAGTTAGTACAAATATCACCTGATGTGGGAAATCCCGGGATCCCAGGAAATATCCTGGTTTGTCCCAGAATCCCGGGATGCTAAGAAATCCCCAAAACAGGAAACCCTATCTCACATCCACAAAAAATGTAATATTACACCATGACACTTTAACAAAGTGCTTTCATTGGTATAAGACATCGAAATAAGTACTTTCTGTTTAATATGGCAGGAAGTACGGGGGGGGGGCAGAGCCTCCCGGATAAGAAGATAGGTAAGGTTAGATAGGATTCTTTGGTTTGTTAGGTCAGGTTCTATTAGGATCTAGTATATGTCTCCTCTTTTAAAATACTCACTATAATGATGAACACATTTGTGGAAAAAACGTTCAAACTTGAATAACTCCTGGTGGTACAGTAGTGGTTTTCAGACATTACCCTTATAATTTGTAATTCATTGTTGATGACCTAATAATCAACATATTAGTTCACTGTCTATGTCACATGTGCATCATATCAAAATAAAGTATCAAAGAACGAGTTGATATAGACCTAACCTGTAAAAACTACCCAAATACCAACTTCAATGCCACCAGTGTATCTAACTCGGCCTCTACTGAGCTGATATAGATTTTTACCATCGTGACATTCCTCACTTGTAAAAAAGGAACCCACTTGAAACTATAATACTGTACCTGGATGTACAGTTTTACAAGTATTTCTTGCCCTTGAATTGAAAGTCAATGCATTTACATGTAAATCATTGGTTTTATTATATTTCCAAGGAACTGTGGGTTAAGATTCGTTTTATGCCAACTTTGACCTATTTTCAGCCATTTTAAATTGGATGAAAGGGATACACCACCTTTATCATCCAGTAACAATGTACCCAAGTGAAGCTCCTCTATAACATCTTACAACTTCTAAGTAAAATAAAGATAAAATCGCACTTCCTCTGTCTTCTTTGAATAACTGGCATAAATAAAACAAAAATACTGCTAAATTTTAAGTGAAAACTTAATACTATACAATACATCACCATATTCTGTAATACAGTGATTACCTCCAAATTATAAAGACACTGTTATATTTTATTGCTATTAATCTATTGTCATGGTACAAAATCACCAAAAATACTTAATTTAATATTTTGAGTAGAAAACAGGACAAGAATTTAAATATATCATGGCTAAGACTAGTAAAAGGGTATTGATCGAGTAATACCTCTTCATTAGTGGTCTGTCCAGCTTTACGTATCAAGTCTTCCATCTCGAGGATATTGCCTGTGCTCAGGATAACTTTCCGGACCCGTGGCTGGGCAGACATGGTGACACTGACACACGCACGCCCTGGCTGTTACTGGCCCTCACTAATGCTGCCGCTAGTACCGCTCCTGCCAGCACCCAACACTACACTCACCTACTCCTCTTGGCACAGGCGCACTGGCCAGTCCGTGACCCCCATCACAGGCTCACAGCTGGTCGCCTTGTTCACCTACCCTATGGTATTGTGAATTTCGGTAGCTTATTGAGTGTTTCTTCTTATATATATGGGTTAAGGCCATATTTTTATAATGAAGGTATCACATGGAAATTATAGAGGCTGTATTCTGTAGCTGACACCTCAATATGGATTGATATTTCTGAATAAAATATCTGAATACCTCTACTCAGCGTGACTCAGCGTCACCGACCACCATGACAATAGGGCAGATTATTCTCGGCTAAAGCCTTTACCCTTATACATGCCCAACTTACATCATAGGGAACATTACAGCATTAGTTGCTATTAATACTTCTTATTCAATAATGTTGCCAAGCTTAGTGACCAATTTGGTTCAACATCGGAGAATATCTAGAATCTGAAATGATTACTCGTTTTTCTTTAACTCTGATGTATTGAAATTTTGTAAAATTTGTCTTTTTATAGATATAATAAAATTGCGAAAAAATTGCGTTTTGTAAACTACATTTTCTCATTTCTATCGCCATAATTTATCCCGATTGACTATGGAAAGAAAATGGGAAAGTCTCAACGAGTTCATTTGTTTACATCATCCCAGCATGTTCGGTTTACTTTACCGGGTTCATTGCTTTTAGTATTTATCTTCCCCTCTTAACTTTTTCAATACTTTACAATTTATATAATTTTGTCAGTTCAATGAAGTGAAAATAAAGAAACTATTACTTTACGATAGACGCATTTATTTCACTAAAGAAATAATCAGTTTATTCCCAAGTCACTGCCATTACATCCGGACTCCAGACACCAAGACAAATGCAGCCTCCTTGAGTTGTTTATTGTTGTGTAAGGTTTTCCTATTTCACGCTAACTTAAGCTACTTGATAAAATGGGATTCACAAATGGGATTTATTATGCAAACAAAATTTTATTTGCATATAAATATAATGCTTTATTATAAGGTTATTGTGGTTTAGTGTCGAGAGGAAAATTAACTGAAGGTGTTGCACTTACTTTTGCGTCCAGTATTCTTTGTTTTGTTGTTTCTTAATGAAAATACATCGGTGCAGTGAAATTTGTGAGCGCTACATCATTCTTTGTAGGTTTAGAGATGAAATTTTACATTAAGGTTCATTACCATGTTCTACATCTTTATATGTGGGACACATTTCCAGTTCCTCCGGGGTAAAGGCCAAAGGGCGTGATTTGGCAATGCAGCCCAAGTCTTGAGACAAGATGACCCATAATTAAAAGTAAAATGGTAGAATATTTGTTTAAATGCACGTTCAGTGGAAAAGGCAGGAATAAACTAGGGTAATATATGCAAATTTGAACATCATAGATGGGTAAATATTTAGAAGCTGTCATGCACGGATATTACTATGGAAAATAGGATTTTATAGTTATTTCATCTTGTTTCATACGAATTTTACCTGTATTTCCATTGGAAATGAGTAGTCCCCCCATTAGCTACCAACAATATAGGTTGTACAAAGTGAGAAGGCTTTGAAGTAGAGGGAAATTGTGGGGTAAAAAAAATGATGAATATGAAGCTTATAAAATCTCCTAATCAGGAAAACCAGAAGAACCTGACCTAACCTAGCTAGGGGTGCCGTTCCCCTGGACCTCCCATTGTGTAAAGAACTTAATTAACAAATACAGGAGGATAAAGTGATGCCACTTGATTAAGGAAGTGGATCAGTGTGGTGTTCAGACACCTTAAACCAACAATTACATGATCTCTTCATCTTGGGGAGTGTGTTTCTTACTGCATTACCAAGTGTGCCGATCTTCACAATACTGACTCTGAATTACACCGTGGATACTTGAAAGGAGAACACCAGGAACTCTGAAGATGTCAACAGCTATGGCTTTGTTCTCAAAAACTCACTGAATTGCATGCCAATCAGCCAAGAAGCAACCTTCATAGAGTGATGCCATCTTGCAATTATGCAATTCAATTTTCAGATCTTGCCCACAAGTCTCCCTCTGATTGGCTCACAAGAATCAAGTGACATCCAAACTCCCAGTGATTGGCTGAGTAATAAGTAAACAATGGATTCCCCAGTTTTTTTTTACTATAAGTGAAATATTAAAGTCATAAAAACTCAAAAACTTAATTTTTGGCTGAAATGCTATAAAGTATTCTTAATTATTTTTGCTCTATCTTCCTATATAAGAAGAGGCTTCCATTCATGGCAGCTTCTAAATATTAATGCACAGATGATGTAGACTATCAAAACCTAACCTAACCTAACCAAATCTGTAAGTTGTATGTTCTAAAACCAGTTCTTTGGGGGAATGTTGTAATATGAATTGCAGACTTTATGATTATGATTGTAGACAGTGTAAATTGATTACTGTAATGGCATAAAATCATTGTGTACCAGTGACAAATGGTGTGCCACAAGGTAGTATGCCTGTACTGATGTTACTCAATTATTTCATAAATTACATGCCAATTGCTGTTCAATCCCCCATATAAATTTTTGAAGGTGATGCCATGTTATTTAGAGAAATTAAAAATCTAATTGACTGTGAAGCATCACAAGATGATCAATACAGTACCCTTTACTGTTATTGGCTTCAGGCTTGGTCAGAGGAATGGCTGTTGAGATTCATCATTGCAAAATGCACAGGGTGTACTGTACTTTGCTCAAACCAATAGTAAGGAGATGTATCACATGTAAGAAAGATCTGGGTGTTTTATATTGATAACAGATGGAAATTCTCGGATCATCATTAAAAAAATGAATCTTGCTACCTAATAAACTGGTGGGACTATTATAAAGAACCTACACATAAATTACTGTACTATACTTAGATGATCCATCTTTCATAAGACTTCTCAAAGTGTAGTTCTACCTCACTTAAAGTACTGTACAGAATTGTAATTCTGTTTGGTCTCCAAGATACACTAAAGAATGCCAACTGATTGAGAATGTTTAAAGCAAGGCCGCTAAAGTGGTGCTGGCACTCAAACACCACACTAAGAGAGATTAGGGTAATCATGTATCTAATCCCTGGGTTTCGGGCTATGGTTGGCATATTCAGAAACATTTAAAAAAACAAATAAAGTGCAATTCTGGTCTTACAAACTGGTCATGCATAATATAAACAGGATATAAATACTTGTATACGTATATGTCCTTACCACAGGTTGGCAACATGGACTAGGAAGAGTCAAGAATGTTCGTAAAGTGGCCTGTGTATGACGCAATAGTATGAGGTAATTAACCCTAATTTGTAGGCAGTTTGAAGTATAGGACACTTGTTTTACTGTGTTATTACTACTTACACTATGAACAATCATTATTACTGCTCCAGTAATTGATCACAATACTAGACCTGTGCTTGGGGGTTGGGGGTGTAGAAACACATGGTAAAGTGAATCAAGACCAAGGATGCAATTCCTACATCACAAAAGCAGAGAAGAGACTGGCAAGTTTCCATATACGAGTGAAAGATAAATACCTACTTGGCAACATAATCTAGCCAGGCCCACCCTTTTTATTCAAATAGGCATGGGAAAGATCAAAATGCCATGTGACATGACCCGAAGCTCTACAGACACACACATCACAGGACGTGACCCGAACCCTAGGGGTTAATGGGTTTAGAATCATGAGTGCCCTAGTTTACATTCAGCAAGTTTAGGATTTTCCCAAAGTACCAGATACCACTACATTATATAATTAATTTATAAAATGAAACAAACAAACCTATCTAACTTAGGCTAACTTAACCTAAAATCTATGACAACTACCTCATGCCTTGTGAACTTATGATACATGAAAGTCTCTCCAGAAGATAGTGAACTGGAAAGTCATAATGTGCTGACATGCAATATTTCAGGACAACAATTCCAACAATGGTGTAGTGTCCCTAAACTTATATGCCTGTAACTTAGGTGATTATTAAAAATACTGTATGAACATTTGTAAAGTGTAATATTTTTCTTTTTGAAATCTATATGCTGTACAGTATATGGTTAAGTGTTTTGGGCTCTAGTACTGTAACAAGGGATAATTCTGCATGAAAACTTGAGATTATCCCCGACACGGTCATTTTTGTTCTTGTGTTAGTAACCGACAGATACTTTAGATATGCTGTACAATGTGGAAATGTTATTATCTCTTTATTAATATATTTCCTTTTTTGGCAGGGAGGGTATATTAAATTACGCCAAAATAAGTCGTCGGAGCAAACGGGTTGTGAGTGTGCGATTCTCCCACACTCGAAGATGGTGGTGTGGACTATTGCTTGGAGTGGTCCTGGGGTGTGCAGTGGCAGCCACCATATTAACCAGGCTCGATGGTAGGTACCAGTACTCTGCGATGTTGAGATGTGGTTGTAATTATATTAACTTGATGGTAGGTACCAATACTGTGTGGCTCTAAGGTGTACTGTACTGATAGCCAGTGGTTATATAGTATGGTGAATGATATTTGATGTAAAGTAAATTATTGTAATTTTCAAATTCACATGGAATGTAACACCATGGATATGAACACCTTCCTCCCTCTTTGTCTTTTTTTCTTCGTACAGTTGCGTCAATGTGTTCCTACACTCCCTGTGGTAACCAGTGTCTCCAAATGGCACCGTCGCAGAAGTAGTATCCCTATTTATGAATGAATGGTTATTGGTCATGTAACGATGGATGTGATTGGTGGACAGGTTTGCTGAAGGTTGGCTGTTTGGAGACACGGGTCACAACGGGGTGTAGAAACACATTTCCGCAACTGTACCTAACACACATAGCTTTTCATCCATGTATCACTGCAGATACCTCCTCATATCATCATACATACTGTATATTCTAAGTAAATTTCTTAATTTTTCCTCCTTGTTGATTTCTTTTACTTCCAGTTTCCAAATTTATTTCAGCCTTTTGTCAATCTCTTTTTTCAGTCTTAATATACCACATTTCCATTGTATCAAAATTCTTGCATGCATGGAGGAGAAATGTTTAAACCAACATTTCTTGCATATTTTTTTTTTTATTAATTGCACACAAATCAAACATTTGTTAAAGAATAAACCACCAACGCACCAGATATAGCTGCCGTAAGTGTCACATGACCAAGAGCCTTTCACATCTGGCTTTCTAAAGGACACCTTCCCTGTCTTAGCCTGTCTAGACTCTAGACAGAAAATCCTCTAAGTCTCAAAATCCCCCCCAAAAATTGCCTTTCAAAATTGAACTAAATTTCTTATCGGGGAAATCTAAGCTCTTCCCAATACAAGCTGATATCCTATGGTGGCTCTATGACATCATTGTTTTCTATACCCACTGGATATCATTCTTAACCCACCCACTTGAGATGTTCTTGCACTTGAAGATATAGTAACTAAAAAGGACCTAGGGCATGTTTAGGTTGAGGGGCCTGACCACACATACACATCCTGTGTTTTGAAAATTCCCAAATATGATATTCATTCTGCAATTTTATTTTTCTCTGGTTAAGATATCCCAGGCTCCATTACAATTTGTGCATCCATGATCAACCCAGTCTCTAGTTACTGTAGATAGGGTTGATCATGGATTTAGAGTCTAGTATATCAATACCTTGTACTGTATTTTTCATGCTTCCAAGACACTAAGTAACCTTTGCTCGAGATTTTGACAAGAATTTGAGAGGAAACATCATGCTGAATATTTCCCAAGCATTTCAACCACTGGCCATATCAAAACCTTCAAGTTTTTACAGCAATACTAGCTACTTCTGTTACTGTATAATGTTCTACATCCATGAAGTAAATGCTCTTGCATATAGGGAAAAAATATTACAACACCTACTTTTTGGCTAGTTATAAGCTCTGTTTCTCCAGGTTCAGATCCCACAAATGTATTAGGACTTACGCCACGAGAAGTGCGCCTAGCGGAGCGAGTAAGGGAGATGGAACAGCAGAACCAGCTGTTGAGAAGACAGCTGAGCATCTCCCAAAACCAGCTGATCCAAGCCTGGGGAGCTGAGGGGGAAGAGAACACAGACAAGCTAGGGGATGGAACAGGGAATGGGGAGCAAAGTGCTACTAAGTGCAAAGAAAAGGTCAGATAATAGTATGCCTTGTAAACCTCCATACAGTACAGTACAGTATTTAAATTATCAATCCCATGTTTAATAGATTGTTTATTTGGTAGACAGGTTAGTTTTAGTCACTCCAAGAAACATTGGATTGCATGAAGATTAGACACCCCAGCTTATTTCACCTGGAGATTAACCACCCGAATGGTATAATACAGTTTAACCTAACGTAATCCCCCAGGTAGTATTATGGTGTTCAACCACTAGGTGAAATATGCTGCGGTGCCTAGTTTTTACTTGATTAAAAACAATGACTTCATTCCTTCAGTCTACAAATATTCAGAGTTGTGAAGAAAAGAAATACTGTATTGAGAGGTTAGCAAGTTGTTTATACGTTAAATTTTTTGAAAGTTAAAGTTATTAGCTTTTATATGTGACAGAAGTTAATGGCTAATATAGTCCAGTCTTTTCTAATTATAAATGAAATAATGGGGTGTTGATAAGAGCATGGTGGAGATAGTGAGCTACTAAAAGTTTATTTCATGACTGTTGAATGTGGAGTAGGAAGAGATGATTACAGTTAGAGATATAAAAAAATATGTTTTAGTGATTAATAGAAGTGTCTTAAAGAGTGAGTGATAGAGCAAAGGGTATTTGTTCTAGTGAATTAGGCATGAGTAGAGAATGGTTTATAAGAGTGTGTTTAGAGTGGCAAATAAAAGGAAGTTTAGGGGAAGTCCATAGGAAAGTGGTGGGATAGTGTTAGGAGTTTATGGGTGAGAGGATGTAAGAACAGAATGACAAGGAGGCTGGGATAGGGCACATTAGGTGTTGAAATTTATCCATATCCATGTTTAGCTGGATCTCTTAATTTGTAACTACGCTGAAAATACTGTAAGTTTAATGACTAAACTGTGTATTTTACATTATAGAACAGTATATATTTTCATATGTTTTGAATAGGATGTAACTTTAAATTTATATATATATATATATATATATATATATATATATATATATATATATATATATATATATATATATATATATATATATATATATATATATATATATATATATATATATATATATATATAATACAGTAGTTGTAAAGGCTATTGCACTTTACTGATGTATGCTGAAAATCTTAAATATTATTTTTACTGTAATTTTTAATCAGTGTGTTCTTTTTTTAACAGGAATTTGGTGTGCCAAAATGTGAGGTGCTTCAAATAGCTATAGTGTGTGCAGGATACAATTCCTCTCGATCAGTGGTGACTCTCCTCAAGTCACTCTTGTTCAACCGACGTAATCCTCTACACTTCCATATGATTGCTGATGCCAAAGCTCAAGTTGTACTTCATACACTTTTTTCATCTTGGAATGTCCCTCATGGTAATGTAATCTTTTAGTATAAAACTATTTCATTTTAAATATTAAATGATCCATATTACGCATATTTTCTCTATAAACAGTATATGCTGTAATTCAGCATGTTGCCGCACACACTCTTACAATTCTTTGTAAACTTTGATAGTCTTGTGATAATTATTCCCTCAATGAACTATACAGTACATTCTTATGAAACTATGATCTTTCTTTAATATACAGTACTTGTAAAAATTTTATTCATTGGAATGTAATGGTAATTATTGATAGAAAAATTTGAAGAGAAATAGGAATATGGAAAGGCTTAAGGAAAAAGTAAGTAAAAGAGAAGGTACTTTAGATAATAGGGGTATGGGCAGTGCTCATCACCTTATGTAGACTTTTGAATGTGTTTCAAGAGTGTTTAATAATTATAATAAAAGCCAGTTTTTCTAAAGAATTCACTCGCACTCAAAACAATACAAAGTCAAAGACTTGAATATAAAAGGAAATACTGTACTACAACAGGGGATCACAAAAAGTGACAGTTCGGCTTTTATTATTCATATACCCTTAAGTTTTAATACTTCCTAAACCCTGTAATTCTCCATCACTACACTGTTCAGGATCATAAACTTTAAAAAAGAGAAAGGTCTTCACTTGTTTCTTAAAGACCTCCACTGAGGTCAGCTGCTTCATGGATGCAGGCAACCAATTGTACAGTCTGGGTGCTGTATAAGAAAAGACTCAGGCATCAAAAGAAAATTCCCATACTGCTCTAGGCTCCTCAAGGTGTGAAGGATCATCGCTACTATGCAAAATCATTTCAGAATGTATAGTCAGTGGAATCAGAAGGTTAGCCATATACTTAGGTTCACCAAACATTGGTGTCTTAAAAGTCATTAGACAGAGTTTGAACTCCATCCTACCTTTAATTGGAAGCCAATGCAATTCAGTCAAGAATGAGGGTATTGGGAGTCCTCGCTGTGAGAGCAAAAATAAGCTTGGCAACCCTATTCGTCACTGTTTCCTCTCTCAATGGTTCAAGTGTTTGCCTAGCTTGCAGATTGGTGTCAGCGACCAGGACAATGGGTACTGAAACAAAAATCCTGGTCAAAGATCGGCATTTCTTTCATAAATAAATTGTGTACAAGATTAGGATTCGGGTCATAGTTACTAAGCGAATTTTCTGGCATGATTTTGGCATGAAATCTCAGGAAGGCTGTCTCAAATATTTATACAGTAGAATCCCAGTTATTCAGCATCTTCGGGGATTGAGAGGTGCTGGATAAAGAGTTTTTCCGGTTAGGTGAAACTCACTCTTAGGATCCCCTAATGAGTTCTACAGTGCACAGTGCTAAATTTAGGCTGACCTCTCAAATTCATGACTCAGAAAAACGGACTTTTTTAACACTTATTCCACTATATAAAGGATGTGGTTTAGAAATAAAGAATGAAATTTTAAAATAAGAAAATGAAGAGTATGGGTGTGTATGTGGTGGGCTAAAACTGCGTCGCCGACTCACCAGCCCAGCCATTTCTTTTAATGTTACAGTAATGAAACTATAAAAGTTGTGGAAAATTCATTACAATACTGTAATGTGGCTTCAAATATTAAAACAAGAAAAATGAAGAGCATGGGTGGGTATGTGTGTATAGGTGGTGGGCTATAACTACGGTATGTCGCCGACTCACTAGCCAGGCTGCCACATTTATTGTTACTTGTAACAAAACAATAAAAGTTGTGGAAAAATCATTACAATACAGTACAGTACAGTACAGGTATACCATGATAGCCGATGCATATGCGGACTGTGAAAAGTCTTTGGTTAGTGAATCATAGGTTATTGAAGCAATTAATCCCATAAGAATATAACAAATTTGGGAGGTTAGGGACTGGCCACCCCCCAAAACCTCCCATCTACCCTTGATATATCTCTGTGGTGCACACTGTCAAGCAAGAAAATATAGCAGACATATAAAGCAAGCATAATAAGCCTTAAATAAGGAATGTAAGCATAAATTGAGACTTATTTACCTGTGTTGAGGATGGTACAGGGGTAGAGAAAATATATAAAACTATAAAATAACATATTCTTCTCCAATGCTTGCTTTTAGACCTATTTTCCAGGTATTGCACCCCTTAAGAGGGAACATAGGATTTCATCCCACAATTTTAGTTGCTCTTTTTGACTTGCAATAAAATTAAAAATGTCATATTTTTCTATACTAATATATTCATCAAATGAAAACAATGTTTTGTCCCTTACAGTTGAGGTGAGCTTTTATTTAACGGATAATTTGGCTGCTGATATCTCATGGGTTCCAAATAAACACTACTCTGGAGTGTTTGGACTCATGAAACTTACTCTCAACAAAGCTCTTCCATCAACACTCAAGAAAGTGATTGTCTTAGACACAGATATTACAGTGGCCACAGACATTGCAGAACTGTGGAATCTATTTTCAAAATTTGGACCAAAACAGGTGAGCTAAGTTTTGAGTAGATTAATGACAACCAAACTGGGATGTATAAATTTTTAGCAAGTGTTGTGAATGTTCCTTCTAATATGTTAAATGCTAAAAAATGACTGAAATGTTTGAGAGTGATTCTGCATGGGGTCATCTTCTCAAATAAGAGTTGTTCCAGAGGAAACAATGGAGTGGGGGAAGATACAGTCCAGGGTAAATCAGCACTGATACATAATTAAGTACAGGTACTGTATATTCAAGAGCTGTGTGTACCCATTACTTGCTGACAGTGAAAATACAGTACTCTGTACCTGGTAAAGTGACAAGTGATAGGAATATAAAGAGTAGGAGAAGAGTACAGACATGAAGTTGCTACTATTCCTGTGGCTTTACTGACTTTCTTGCAAGTTTTTCATGTATAATAATCAGTTAAAGCCTGTGGTTATATGAGTAATAGTCAAGCATAGTTAAAACCTAATTGATGTGAGTTAGTAGACAGTTGTAAGGGAAGAGGAGATGTATAGCAGGAGGTAACTGGACATATGAGTGTATCATGAATTTGATAAAGATCCAGGTAGCATTTTGATCAGAATATAGATAATGAAAAAACATCCAAAATTTGTTTTATGTAATAGTCAAAAGAGCAGAGATGAAAACTGGGAGAGTAAACTGATAGAGTATTTTAGAAAACATTCAAGGTATTAAGATTTACAGTTGTTTATTTGAAATAGGAGAGAAAATTGGATCATGCAACAGATGAATTAAGTCCATGATTGAGCTAAGACTAAAGTTGTTCAGATCTGGTTATATACATATCAGTAGGTAAGTAAATCCCTTACTGAGGTGAATAGGACCCGGTATAAAGAAGAAGCAAATGAAGTGGTTGCATGTTGACTCTTGTTCAGGGTGTGTATGGATGAGTGTTAGCTCTACAACTCATCTAAAATGTAACAAGATTATATACAATGATAAAGATTATAATTATATGAACCACTGCAGGAAACTGAGTACAGTATTGTGTGACCAGTTTATAAAAGAATATTCACAGCTGGGTTTACAATCAATAATACAAATGTTCTAAATTTCCATAGCTGAAAATGGTGTAAGATAATTTAATTTCTATATTTTCGAACCAAATTTTTACTAGCATGCATTTTCTATTCTTGGAACAGTATATAGGCTTGGTGGAAAATCAGAGTGACTGGTACTTGGGTAAACTTTGGAAATCTCATCGTCCGTGGCCAGCTCTTGGAAGAGGGTAAGTTTTCCATCTGTTGCTTAATTACACCTTTACAATTCTGTACTGTAGTATACTATACTGTACAAATAACAGTGTCTAAGAAAATTTCTTTCAACAAATTGGAGAGGTCAGCACCTCTGTGAACATCCATACACTGTCATTCATAGAAGCACCATCATCAGGGAATCAACTGGATTGTTCATTTCTTCCATTGATGGCAGCTTTTCAGCTTGATAATACTGTATATACACCTCAGTAAAGTACCTCATCATCAGGGATAGATTAACTTTACTTTCCTTGCAGCCTGAGACTTACTGTACTTTATTTTGGGGTCCTTTTCTATGGATTTTTATGAACAATACTGTACATATAAACTGTAGTACATAGTGTATTTTACTGTTTGCTGAAACAAAGCAGAATTAGACAAATTTAACTTTAAGGCAGACTGCGTTTGGAGTCCTCTTATCACCATATTCCAGTGAACTGTATGAAATTTTACTTTTTAATCCTAAAGGTGCTGATCCGAACACTTTCAGGTATAAATCACACTAACTCTCTCATTTCACTAATGGTCAGGATATACCAAACACAACGAAAATTTATATACATATACCCCTGTACTACTGTATTAACGAAACTCCCAAACACCTTACATAACAGTAAGTACTGCAGTGCTAATACAGTTCAGATAGTGAATTACAGTACTGTACTGTACTGTATAGTGAATGCAATAAAAATTTTATAATAAAAATGATAATACGTACAGAGAATTTTTTGGTACTCAGCTTGGAACCGGCTGTGGTGTGGTCTGCCAATGAACGCCACTGTCTGGAGTTGCATTGTCCTCCTCCACAAATTACAACGCGGGAGCAATCCACAAAGACACCAACTCCAGACCATGAGCACAGACCCTGGGTGTATATAATAATCACTCAGATCTCAGCCACAACTATTCAGCAACACAGACAGGGCTCTGGGCAAAGGACTCAGGCACCACATCGGTCAGCACAAGCACCAGAACGAATCTGCTCTCCCCACTCTTCCCTGTGGGGTAAACTTTACACTAATTCAGAGACACATATTCAAAGCCCCATGAAGCTCCAAACCCTCTGAACCTGGCTAAGAAAAGCATTCCCAGCTTCTTTTATAGTAAAACATTACAAATTACAAGATTTTTATTGAACTTAAATTATATAGTGAAACCGTAAGGGCACAAAAAGTATTTATACGTGTAAAAATAGGAAAGATCCCCTTTATATTTGTGAAACACATAAAACCCTTCCCCCAAATGGTCAATATCCCAATTAGGCAATTGTCAAAATATGACACCCCTCAAGCACAGGTCCCAAGGCTTGAGCCTCAATTGCCTTGGTGATTAACTATCACTGCCCATCATTAACTTTCATACATACTATTTTTTTCCAAAAATTTGCAAGCATTCTCCCACTGTACTGCATGTTGTTTATAACCAAAATCAAACACAGTTTATTTGTTGTCATCCATTCATTTTTATTATTGTAATATCTCCATTTTTTACTCACAGCATCCATCTGGACTATTTCTTAATCAAAATGTTTCCACAGTTATAACACGGGCGTTATTCTCATCCGGCTGGATGTCATGAGACGAAGCAAATGGTCCCAAAAATGGAAACTCATTGCTGAAAGGGACTTGACGACTCTTTTCTCCACCCAGCTTGCTGACCAGGATATTATAAATGCAGTAATTAAGGTACTGTACTGTGTATGTAAAGAAATTATAACACTTGCACAAAAAACAAAGCCCAGATGGCAACACCAAAACTAACATTTACATATAATAATTAACTGTGAAAACAACTCTCATTCTGTCAAGATAATCCTCTAGAGCAGAGTTTCTCAACCTTTTTTTGCCCAAGGCCCCTTTCTCATCCTCATTTACCTCTGTGCCCCCCCCCCCTCATACTTGGGGGGGGGGGGAGAGCTTAATAAGAACATAAGAATGGAGGAAACTGCTCCGAGCCTATTGGCCCATACTGGGCAGTCCCATTTACACCAGCCCCTATTGCTCATCATCTGCACTGTATATTAATCTGAGCTGTATCATATAGAATTATAAAGACAAAGTGTTTGTAGTACCTAACAAAAACTATCAATTCTATAGACATAATTGTGTGCAAGCAAACAAGCTTCCATAAAGACATAAAATGTAAAATGCATTGAAGCAGCATAAGGCCTGCTAACAAAAATTATTGCAATTGGTAGGTACTTAATTCAATGTGATCCTTGTGGCTGATGCAAACTTACCAATTTCTCAGTATCTGGCTACATCGTTGTTAGTGACAAACGAAGATCACCTCTCCCCACAATATCAAAGGAAATTTCATAAATTTTGTCTACTTGCTAGACTTTACTAGAGTAATTTTCAATATACAGTATAAGCTACTAAACTTAGGACGAAGAATGAGATGTGACAATGATGACAAATTGATTATATGCCTGGCAGTTAAGTTTGGGGTGGCCCCCTAATGTTTTGTTTGATCCATGTGGCCCCCTAGGGAGCCATGGCCCACGTTGAGCAGCAGAGGGGTATCTAAGAAGCATACATGATCTGATTGCAGACAGTAAATATGGATTAAAGTATGGAATCCCTGTTTATAACTACAAGGGTTCCAAGAAGTGGAAGTCTTGAGGGACAAAGAGGCAATTGAAAATGTAGACAGATAAATAAAAGCCACTGCAGGGTTTTCATTACAAACTAGCCACCACCCACTCGGTAAACTGATAAATTTCACCTGACTTTTATCTGTTTCATGTCATCTTGGAATCTGCTTAAATATTTAGAGAATATCCTGGCTAATATTATTAATGTAGATGAAAGGAAGGAATATGAGTGGAGAAAAGGATAATCCCCTTACATTTACTGCAGTTATACTTTTATGGGAACTCTAAGATCAATGAACATTAAAAGCTAATAACTGTAATGTTTCTTTTCAGCAACATTCAGAGATTGTGTACAACCTCCCATGTCAGTGGAATGTGCAGTTATCAGATAATACTCGTTCAGAGTTGTGTTACCTGGAAGTGATGGACTTGAAGGTATGTTAATTTAATTTTTTCATTTTTATTCACAATTAAAATGAGTAAAGCTCACAGTGCTATCATCCACAATTCTGTATGATGGTATCCTTTATGCAAGAAGGGCTATCTCAGCCTTGGTTGTAACTCTTGCTATGATGAGATGGCTGACTCTGTGTACAATGAAAGACAAAAGTCGCGTCGTGAAATTTGGTGAAAACATATGCCGAAGGGCTATACTTTTGGTGCACTCTGCCTTGTCGTAGGGCTCTCATAATGTTTCACGAGTTATATTTAATCTTCGGACAAAACCGCGACACGACTTTTGTCTTTGATTGTACATCAGAGAAAATAACATCCTACTGACACTGCCTGGCCATGGAATTGAAATAATGTCTTGTTGGTTAAGAGTCCAGAGCACTGGTATCTGAGCCTTGGCACACCATCCATATTATTTACTCTAGTTTTAATATTTTATAGGTTATCCATAATATCTGAATTTGTATGAATAAAAGTTTTAAAGAACTTCTGAAAAAGTTTGGCTTAAATAATAAAAAGATTAATACAGCCAGTTAAGTCTACAAATTAAAAACCCATATTACCCATTAAGATAATAGCTAGGTGTTGTTTAGGATTAAATCAGGATCTCTTTTCTCATATAACTGGAGACTCAAAAAGCTTTTCTCAATGATAGTTGTCATTCACAACAGAAGGGCTAATGAGTGAGTCATATTAGTGCTGAACATTACCTTGCTTCTTTGTCTCAGTCACAGCACCAGGAAAATGGATCGACAGTAATCTTGAGGCATGAAAATTTAATTTTGAAGTAGTAGAATATTTAGAAGAACTCAGTCACTCAAATTTTCTTTTACAGGCAATTCACTGGAACTCACCAAAGAAATTAAAGGTAAAAAATAAACATGTTGAATTTTTTCGAAATTTGCACCTCACCTTCCTGGAGTATGATGGCAATCTACTTCGCCGCGAACTGTTTGGCTGCAACAATTCAAGATCTATCACCTCATCCAACTCACTGGCACAGGTACTTATGATGAGAGTGAATTTAAGAATATATATATATTTTTTTTTATTAAAAGGAAATTTAGAAATGATAGCCACTAAGATGTGTAGGAAAGTTTGTGCAGGAGCTGCTGCATTGATTGTGAGAATTAGGGTATAGTGGATCATCCTCTGTATATACAGTAAAGTACAGTGCTATTAATCACTTCTTTCTTTGTTTACTGTCAGTCCACAGATGTATATGACTTTCTATTGATTATTTTTATTGATAAAGCAAGATACATCCTGTATTGTGCAGCCTGGAGAGCTGTCATATAAACATGGAGAATAGCCATAAAACAAAGGTGATGTTCATAAGAATTATCACCTATATTTAAATTTGCTTGAAAGTAGTTCATATCTTTGCTGTAGTGTAGCAGTGTACTGTATACAACTACTGTACCAGTATTAAGTATTAAAGGAGACTTGCTTTCTCCTTGACCTATGATGACAACTGCTACATACACAACTGACAGAGCTTTCCTGTCATATGTGATTTGTTCTTCCCATTTATCCACAGTTAAACGAAGAAGATGAATGCTATGAGTTCCGCCGTGCCCGCCAGACGAACTATCGTACGCACTTATTCTTCCTGGACTATGAATATGATCCCACAACAGATGGTTATGATGTAACACTTGTTGCTACACTTTCCATGGATCGTTTACAGATGGTAGAACAGCTGCTAACCCACTGGGATGGTAAGTGATCACATGAAAAATTAAAATTTGTTGTCAATAAAAGTCATAAGTACCCCTCCAATGCACAGGCTAGTTGTGAGCTTCTTGCATGGAAGAACCACGCCATATTTATTTTTTCTTTGGATAGAGTTTTTGGGAACCGGTTCATTTAAAGAAAAATTTAAACAACTATATTTCACATGAACCAAGAAAAAGAAAAAAAGGAGAAATACTTTTGATGATGTGAAGTCATGCATTACAGTTTTTGACACAATCAACTTGTATTTTAGTCAACAAGCCAACAACAACCAAGTACAGTATAGACAAAAAAGTGGACATCTTTATGCTTTATATTGTTGAAATAAAAAAATGTATATGAGTAATAATGAGGCTGGTAAATGGAAAAACCGGAGCTGTATTTATTTATGCAGACACCACTGTGCGCATACAATATGTTCTTAATACTGTAAACAAAATAATATACTGTATACTTCAGTACTACAATACTATAAATACTGTACGTACTGTACTCTTGAATCTACAGTAGAGTAGGCAGACACTGTCCACTCAGTTGAATGTAATAGGTAACTCTAATCAAGTCTTAACACTTTGATGGAGGTGGGGTGGGGTATTAGAGGTTGTGTTTTTGACCTGACTGATGCAATGTTAGGTCACCGATTGTCGGGATGGAGATTAGTGGATCTCATGACGTGAAGATGTCTTGAATAAATACGAAAGCGAAGGTGCTCCAGTGTTTCCCACTTACTGAATATACAGTACAGTACAGGTATACTGTACTGTATGTAAATGTAATAACTTTTTACGTTCTTAAGAATGTATTCTTGGCTGATTTTGTTTTGATACAGGAATGTACAGCATTGCACAACACAAATTGTATGCAAAAACAGCAGCTAGCATGGGAACAGCCTTCTACAATGACAGCAGAATATGAACTAAGTGATTCAAGCAGCTAGGCCACCCATGCATCTGACACGTGGGGGGTGCGTTGGAGCACGATGCAATCTCTCGGAACTCTGGGAAAATTTATTCCCAGGCCCAGAACGGAGAGTTTCTGGAATTTTTCTCGGAACTTTCCAGAAAATACACCTGATTTTTAACCTCAGAAAATCGTTCCCAAACCCAGATTTGAGGAAATTTTCCGTTAAAATACCGAGCAAATTTCAATTCTGTACATATACTACGTATATGTACCTAAATCTTTCTAGTATTATACTGATATTATAAAACAATCTTACCTTTCAGTGTGATGGTAGATGCTTGATGGAGATGCAGTTAGGGTGGAGGGGTGAAGGTTATGCCTTGAGTTTTTCACCGTATGATATACGGCGAAGCAGTCTTACAAGTTTGAACAAGTGAAATATTGTAAAATAAACAAATACTTGTAAACTCATTAAAAACACTCATATGGACACTTATAAAACATTTCACAACACTTTTCATCACTTTTACAGATAGCTCAGATGTTTATCTGTATCTACAGAAGGACATTATGGCACATTTACACACATGAAGGTTACAAATTTGAATACTGTAAGTAAAATATTGTAAAAAATAAATAAATGAATGCTTTGTGAACACTTATAAACACTTTATAGGCTAATATTACTGCACAATGGATAGCACAAGTGTGTGGTGTGGATATTAAGATAAGTTAAAAGGGCTCACTCACTTTGCCTTCTAACTTAATGTCAGTGTGCTATGGACTGTTGCCAAGTAACCAATTAGTGATGAATTACCACGAGAGAGAGGGCCTACCAGAATGACTTGCCAAAATCTCAAGCGTCAATCGGAATTACTTTATAGTAATGTAATCGATTTAAAATAATAATAATCTGTTGAATGACGCCTTGGGGCATCAGTGCCTTTTTTCTTCTTTTTTTTCCCTGGGAATAGCCCACCCGGGCACAGGTCATTGACCCACATCGGGGCCTAGGTGGCGAAAAAATAACAATGAAAAGAAATTAAAAATATCTTTGACGCCTACTTTTTTCACGGTGCGTGAGAGCGTTAAGTGAACTAAGAAAAGTTATTTTTAACAAAATCACCTCAAGGAATAACATTATCTATATTAAAATAGCATTTACACCTAGAAACTCAGGTAGCAAGATTGTGTAGCTAAAATAAGTTAATAATCTGTACATGTTACTAAACATTCAATTGCTTTGGGTTGATCACTGTCTTCATACTAGCTTATGTACAGTAACTTCTCATGGAAATTTTCTAAGGAATTCAAATAGAAATTTTGCACTTTTTTATTACCAAATGCCATTTGACTTGTCAGTTATTGTAATAATGTGACAATTGTCCTTGTGAGGCAGGAGATATAATCAGAACATTACCTCATTATTGGTATGCACATCACTCTCAGTTGACAGGGTTAGTCTCTAATTTCAGGTTCATCCTTCCATTTCACTCATTGTTTAGTTCCCAGCCAAACCCTCATCATGAATACATTCAGTAATAATCCAATTTTTAGTTAGACTAAGAACCACACTTTGTGTATTTTCCCTTGCTATAGTACCACCATTATGCCACTATGCTGGAGCTTAAAAAAGGACCTTTGGTTGACCTCTGTTGACCTAAAGGATGCCCACTGGTACATGCATAATTATAAATGCAGTACAGTACTGTACAGTGTATATTGTCATATCACATTTCAAGTATTTAATCCCATGGATTTTGTTTGAACTAACAGCATGAGGCTTTTTCATTTACTACAGTTCTTCCAAAACAGCTTTGAATGCCTATGGGTACCATTTCCAGAACATTTTAAAATGACCCAATCTGTCATCCACTACAAAACCTAGTCCTCTCGCCTCCCTATTTCCCCAGGAAAGGAATTAGAAGAGGGGCCCTTTTTAAAAGTTTTATATGTTTTATTATACTTGGGCATAAGAGGGAAGTTATCTGGCAAGGAGGAAACCAGTGAGTCCTGTTGCCTCAAAATACATCAGATTGAGATCAGACACCCAAGTTTTTTTTAGCTAGTTTTTTCAATAAATATTAAACATTAATGAGTGGTAATGTCTAATGAATTTGATGAAATTTTCACTAAACAGATGCATAGTACATCCCTTTTTCTTAGTACAGTACTGTACTGTACATGTCACTCAAAAACTATCTCTAGTTAGGAGCTGATGAATTTCAGAATGAACACTGCATCCTTCATCTGTTGTGTCATATTTTTTCTACGCAATTTTGTATAGATAGATTGATTGTGCTTTGATCCCTGAAAAATATATTGTTTTATACATACAGTACAGTACAGTAATTTAATGATGAAATACAAATGGTTGTTACACGTACTGTACTGTACTACATTTCATCATCAGGTCCCGTGAGCCTAACGTTATACATGTCAGATGCAGAAGCTCAGCAGTTCCTATCCTACACTCAGAGCTCAGAGATCATTGCCACCAGGAAGAATGTGGCATATCATGTAGTCTACAAGGAAGGGGTAAGTTACTGGCCTGGACGATATTGTTTTCAGTTTAAGATTGTGTGAATATAGTACAGTATAGGAAAGTTACTCAATGTACATAACTTAACCTGACCAAACTGAGGTTCCATCTTAGACCCAGACAAAGCTGATAAGGTATTCCTTGAAATTTAAAAGTTGCCATTATTTTTCTTGTCATAAAGGGTCTTTGACTGTGTATAATAGCTTTTCTTTTTCATAATACAGTATAACTTTACAAAATGTACGGTATGCACTGTAGGCTTAAAATGAGTAGTAAAGTACAGTATAGTACAGTATTAAGTTTTTATTGTGTTAAGTCTATTCTTTTACAGAGCTTTTCTTTTTTTAATGATTTCAGAGGTAAGATCTAATAGTTAATTGTTACCTGTATTAATTACTGTATACATTCATTGTCGTTTTTTTATAATCCTATTCATTTGAATTTTTCCCCAATATACTAATTTTAAATTTATTTTCAGAATTTTTATCCTGTCAATTTCCTTCGTAATGTCGGCGTGCAACATGTAAACACACCATATGTCTTCCTCACTGACATTGACTTCCTGCCCATGTTTGGCCTGTACGTCTACCTACGAAAAACACTTCAAAACATACATCCTGATGACAGCAAAAAGGTGAAGAATTGCAGTTCAGTATTTGTATAGATACAGTAGTCATTCCTTATATTGGAATAAATTATGCGGGCCAATTCCGCTAAATCAAATACAGTGGTCCCTCGGTTAACGAATACAATCCGTTCCAGCAGGTTGTTCGTTAACCGAAAAATTCGTAAACCGAAACCATTGTTTCAATGGGTTTTTGGGTAATTGGTTCCAGCTCACCGAAAATTGCCTAAATTCAACAAAAATGGTAGAAAAGTTCACTTACTTTGAGGTGTGCATGTAGAAGGCTCCTGGATGATGATGGGAATTAGAATGGGGGTGGAGGAGAAGGAAGAAGAGAAGGCATTGGGGTGGAAGAGAAGTCACCCCATGGCACCATTTCACCCATAAAATTTGAGTTCTCTTGGTGTATTTCAAGATTATTTTCTTTAAATCAACACTGCACTGCATTATATATTGTCAATATGTAAAATATATTTCAAAATGACCAATAATTTGCTTGGAAACACAGAAAAAAAGCGTTTAGTTGAAGAGAGTCTCAAGCAAGATGTTACCTCCAGTGAAAACAGAGAGAGACTAACGCCTGTTTGCTGTGTTAAGAGGCTGGATGCCGCGCATTAAACTAGTCACTTTACCTTCAATTATGTTCAATAATTGTTAAAATGACTAAAAAATTGAATATTAAACTTTTAAAATTATTGAATAGTATAAACTTCTTGATATTTACTAAAATAGTAAGAAATTTAAGCCCTAGAACCAATTAATGTATTGGCGAACTAATACTAAAGCTGGTTGACTGGCCAGTGCAAGTGAAAATTTGTTGAGGTCGGTTTGTAAGAAATTCGTTAACCGAATTTAAGAATCTTATGGGAGGCAGTTCGTTAACCGAAATTTCGTTAACCGAGGCGTTCGTTAACCAAGGGACCACTGTACAGTTATACAGTCTCTCCTCGACTTACGACAACCCGGACATACGACGGCCCTGTCTCCTCCTCTGCTTCATCCAATTAATGTAGTCTCCATGCTTAATTTAAAAAAAATATTGAGGCACCGTGTGCATTCAGCTGACTACATTAAAGGTAAATGCACAGTAACACTTAATTCATTTTTCATTATTGATTACTTTTACTGTACTGTATTTCATTTCATAATTTTTATGTATTATTTTCGCCTTTTTGGCTTACGACCTGGTCGTCGGGACGGAACCCTGTCGTAAGTCGAGGAGAGACTGTACTTCTGGCAAAGAAATTGACATGTTCACGGAATCCACTTCATCCTTGGAAACATTATTCTCAGAGTTAGATTTAAGTGGGAATAGGTTTCAGTCCTTTCTAAATCTGTATTTTACTTATGCCAGAAATTTTTAAAAAAATGCTCCCAGTAAAAATAAACAACAAATGATACATGGCATATCATAAAATACAATAGCACATATTTTATGTACAAAAAATATCTGGGTGATGCCAAGTGTGAGCCACAGTAAGGTGCGTGTGGCTACTGCATTGCGCTGTGTGTATGCTGGGACGTCACATTGGGCCCCGGGGGAGGGACCACGGTGTCGGCTGAGCTAACGACATACTTTCAACAGCGAACAGTCTCCACACATACACACCCATGGTCTTCTTTTTTCTTTTTTATATTTTTATATTATACAGTATTTTCTTTATTTCTAAGTCACAATTTGAGTATTGAAATAATTTATCCACAGCTTTTATATACAGTACAGGTATTCATTATACGTACTATGTAAATGGCAAACTGCATAACCTCTCACAGCTATTATTACTTATAATGGTTACTTTACATGATATTAGATACTCTTCACACTATGCATACATTATTCATGGGTACTGAATGGTTAAGCAGTAAGTAGGCTGTGGGAACTACTCGTAAAAATACTGAGAGTGGGTTGTCAGCCATCTGTCAACAGAACTCGCAAAAATGCCCGAGGAGGCTACGAACCCAATGTTAACATTTTCAACCATCCAAATGTACACATCTTATGATTTTGCACATACATGCACAAACATTTACAGTACTGTATACACAAGAGATTAGCAAAATACTAATAAAAATGTCTAGTTTCTGTAAAATTTAGATGCATTGTCTTACCCTTCTCTTTGCTGGATTTAGCACTCACTTTAGGTATGGTGCAAATATATACAGCACACACTGAGCGAATATGAAGAAACCTAGGTGACCACAGGTGTGTGTGTGTGTGTGTGTGGGGTGGGTCTTGATTCATTGTGCCAAAATAATGATGCAAGCTTACATGGGCATTACTGGACAATCCTTTCATCTAGTAGAAGGCTCCGTTAGATTGAGAAGCAAATACTGTACTGGCACAAATTTGTTCCGATAAATTGAACTTCTGCAAAAAGAAATTGTTACAAGGAATAATTACTGTATTCAGTTTTGCCATTAAAATTTTAAGAGATTACAAAAGCAGGGAGTGAACATATAGCACTGTATTGTGATCATAGTGTGAGAGGTTTAGGTTACATTATATATACTGAGCAGGTTAATAGTGGTTTTTATATTGTACAGTACAGTTTAATTTTATGTTAAAATTGGTCTCTTGTCAAGTTAAGACAGAAGAACAAATAATTCCACTTAGATGGGATGCCACATCACCCCAACTGCCATAGTGTGTACAAATCTAAATACAATAAACAAAATGATTTTAAGATACTAGTGTGCTGATGTCATCGGTTCAAATGATAAACTAGCTCTCATTTTTCTCTTGACAGGCATGGGTTGTACCAGCCTTTGAAACACAGCGTTACCGCCTATCATTCCCGCGCAGCAAGGCAGAACTCCTGAACAGACTTGACATGGGAGAACTGTTTACTTTTAGGTTGGTTAAAGTTATTGCTTTTAAATCTTTATGTTGGTCACATGATTGTACATTGATGAAGTTTTCATTGTGCTAAGTCTATTCTTTTATAGAGCTTTCTTTTTTTAATAATTTCAGATGTAAGATCTACTAGTTAATTGTTACCCGTATTTGAGGTGTTCACTGTCTTTTAACATCAACTTCATCCTTGTTTATACCGAATAGTATTATTCTCCCATTTAATATTTTTGTAAACTCTTTTATGTATTTTTACCTTGATCATTCTTTTGAAGGTTAGCTCCTATGATTTTATGATGCTCTGCAAAGACCAATTATTTGCCTTGTTTATTTGTTTACCCCACAATTAATGTCTTCTTGATAACTTTTGAAGTACAGTACCGTACCTTTTTACTCAGTAACCTCATAACTTTCATCACTATTGGCGGTACAAGAAACTAAACTTGAGGCAAATTTCTCTATCTACTGTACGTATATATATTCACAGATATCATGTTTGGACAAAGGGTCATGCACCAACCAACTTTGCCAAGTGGAGAACTGCTACCACTCCTTACAAGGTATACAGTATACAGACTTCATTCTAAATGTGTCTTGGCTTTTCACCATAATTTATATTTCTTCCAATTTGTATAAACTGACCTTTTTATGTAATAAGTTCTATAAATATTATATTCAATTAAAAAATACAGAATATTTCATATCAAAGATGTTCTACATATACATTTAATTGTATTAGGAATTATTTATCGGTGTATAACATTGATCTGTATAGCAGTTTCTCCAAATACCAGTCATACAACACCCCCATACAGTATTCTCCTGTGCACAAATTTCCATATTTGTTCCTCTTCTGCAGTCATACGCTCTTACTCATTTTTTCCAATTCAGTTATACAGTAAAAATAGAAAGTCTGTTTATTACTGCTTCCTTGTACAGTACACTTTACTAGGGCTGATCATAAGGTCAGTCCCAGCCACAAATAGCAGGTCATATGAGTTCATACCAAAATCTTAGGGTTGTGTTCATACTGTATTGAGTTTCTTGATTCCAGGTTTAACTGTAATGAGATTTCAAGATCATTCTTTCATTTTTTTTCCACCAGGTTCCATGGGAACAGGATTTTGAACCATATATTGTAGTGCGGAAGGATGTTCCAGAATATGACACACGTTTTGTTGGTTTTGGATGGAATAAGGTGATATATGAACTGGTTCTTTATCGAGTCCTCCAGTTTTTGCATGTCATTAAATATAAGTGAACTGGTTGTTATTTATATACCAATACATAAATTTACTCTAAGTTTATTTCATTGTTTTATGATTAAGCAGTAATACCTCATCATTCACCAAAGCTTTAAGGATTTAAGTTGAGGAAATTTAGTTCAAATTATTGTTTGGAGACAGTTAAAGTTAAAGAATATCAGACCTCAGAAGGACATTGCTGCTCATTTATATTAATACACTACTGTATAGTTATTTTAAGTTTCATATAAAAATTAGTTCATGTCATATTCAACTTAATTCCAACATAAAACATCTGGTTATTTGACAGGTCTCACACATAATGGAACTTCATGTGATGGGCTTTGAATTCATTGTTCTACCCAATGCCTTCATCATTCACATGCCACATGCACCTAGTCTTGACATTGCTAAATTTCGCACATCACCTCAATATAAGCGGTGAGTACCTTACATTATCCTAAAAACCTAGAAAAGATAATATACGTTCCAAATGTTTGTATAATTACTTGTTTATGTGCTTTCGAGGGGACTTGGAGTAAATAGTAATAGAGGACGGATGAGTGAGTGGATGAATCTGTGAGTAGATAAATATGAGAGAATTCAGAAGTGTGTTGCGTTGTGGTTGTTTGGGTGAGATGGTTTCTTAATGAAGACGAATGCTTCTTTTCAAGTGGATAAAATTCTGTTCTTTTAAGTTGTAAGAAATTTAAGTGTAAATTTTATTTGTACAGTACTTAGATGTGATACTGTACATATAAGAAGTTTTATTTGACATTCGGTTCTATAAATACCAATCGTAATTGACAGAACTTATGACTAAACTGTACAGGTATCCCCCAATTTATGATATCCCTATCTACGATATTTTGCTTGAACAATGGTGATATATTAAGACTACTCCCCATATTTTCGATAAAAAAATTTCACATAAACGATGGTCATCGTCTGGCCAATGCAGAATATGGAACGCATCACTCATTGCACTTGTCAGCTGCGGTCTACCTGTGTGCCACCCGGTGAGTAACAGTCCCAAGCTTTGTTCCATTGTGATAGTACATGCCTGTGATCATGTAGCTCAATGATTATATCGTTCAGTATCCGTGTTGTTACTTTTTTTCTCTCTCTCTCTCTAGTGAGGGGACATAACTAATGTTCACATTGTACTCTGTTTTTGTGACTGTAAAGTGATTTGCCTCTGTTGTGAACATGATGTGAGCAGTGTCGGCCACTATCATTGTTTTTACGTTAGCATCATCGTCTACTCTGTTTTTGTGACAAGTGCCTTTGCTCTCTTTACGTGACTGTGAAGTGAACAGTGTAACTATGAAAATATCTGGGAAGGCCAAGGCACCCAAGAAAACTGTGTCTCTGGAAGTGAAGCCTGACATTGCAAAGCTGTGTGGGAGCCTGAGTGACATCTCCACTCCACCTTCAAGAGTTCCCTTAGCCTCGAAGGGGACATGTGATGACGACCAGGCTTGCTCTCAATGATGTGTTGAGTGTTGTTTAATTGTGTTTTATGTATGTATATTATTGTAGAAATTTTATTTTCAGCAATACATATGGGTGTCAGACTGGATGGGAACTTGGGCTGTTGAACCCCATTTTATAATGATTCCAATTTATGATATTTCGACCTGCGATGAGTTTTTCAGGAATGTAATCCCATCATAAGTAAGGGGGTACCTGTAATGACACAGTTATGATAAGTTCTTGGTTACTGTACTCATACATATTGTATTCCAGATTGCCGAATTTCTGCTTGTTATACTATCTTTGTACCTATTAGATGCATTATTGTTAAATATGTGTAACTCTACTTTCCAGATGTGTGAAAATTCTGAAGAGGGAGTTTGTTGATGACGTTAATCAGAAACACAATAGTGACATTGCTCTCCAGTAAGTGTTGATAATGAAATGTTCTCACATCTCAAAAATTTTACACCATTTGTCAAAAAAATTTCCAAGTGATACCAATTTATAGTGAGGAATTAGTAGATTCATTATGAAAATTTTTACCCAATAGAAGTGCACAGGAAAAAATATCATTCAAATGAATAATTATTTTGTGATGAGTTGAAGATTTTTTTATTCTGGACACAAATGACTTTAGTGCAGCGTATGGTTATTCATTGGTCATAGTATCTCTCCTATAATGTATTCATTTTGTTCAATTAACAAACGACTTTTCGAATGCATATTATATAGTACATACCATTTGCCACAAAGTAGTACAGCATTTCTTATGTTATCCTTGTTTAACCAAAACTTCTGTAACAAGTATTGTCTTCAAAAATTTATGCCACAGAGATGCTGCTGCTTATGGTATTTGTGCATTATTAATCCTTAACAGTAAACATATCTGTAAAAGCTTGGATGTGCAAAGACTTCACACCAACCGTTATATGGTCTCAAAAGTGCCAACAGTTAGGAGGTTAGAAGATATCTTATAGGAATATTTGCTTCACTGTGTGTAAGCATTTCATACAACTTCTTAAGTTATTGATTTTGCATGACAACGAACAAACAAAACTGTTTCAAGGTTATGTGATACAGTAAATGTGGCCAAAGACACTCTTTTTTGTATTTAAGAGTTATTTTCTTGATGTATTTCAGCTTCATGTCCACTTTGAATGTTTGACTTGGGTTCATCACTTCAGTAGTCTCATTACAGCATCTACCATATATGGTTGCACAACCAAGAAATTGAGATTATTTAAACTAACAATTATTTATTTAGAAAAAAAAGTTTTTAGTTAACTTCATATGAAGCGTTCCACATGACAGGGAGTTTCATTTTTTTTTTTTTTTTTACTGTAAATACTGTAGCCATAATTTTGCCAAATATTAACCTATTAAGAAGACCAAGGTCTCATTTGAAGGGTTTTCTATCGAAGAATTCATCAATATTGATGCACGAAGTATGTGGTGTCTTTAATTATTAAAAAAAAAATTATAAGTAACCTATCATACCTTACTACCCCTAATATCATGAATTATTATCCCATTTCATTGAACATGGTCTCATTTTAAGGTAACTTTTTTTACCGAATACTGTACATCCATAATAAGGAAAGTATTAGGGGGTCCATAAATGCATAAAAAAAGAGGAATAAAGTACTTTTATCACATTGTGTATATAGGATGGTGTGTGCATGTAACCGAGTAAAAATAAATGAAGAAAGTTACGTATATCTACCCGAAAATAAGAAATAAAAAAACAACCATAGCACCAGTAGCCTGGTGGTTATAATGACGAGTCTAACCTGGCTACAATTTTGCCAGTGATATTAACAGATGCAAATGTGAAAAGAAAGTTATTTGTATCAGGTATTTGTAGATTTAAAAATAAATGCTGCAGGTATGGCATTAAAAGATTGTAATGCTTATAAGAGTTCAGAAATAGTAATTGCTTGGCTACCTCTGAAGAGTTGGGTTTCTGCCTTACGGACGATAATCATCTCAGATCATCATCATCAGTATAGTAGTTATAAATCGAGCTTTATATTTACATTAATTTGTTTTTAGTATTATTATTTAAAAATAATAATAATGTGTTTAAGTAAGCAATAACATATTTTTAATTCTGGAGTTAGGTTAGGTAGAATTTAGCCTACTGGACACAGCAACTGAGGGATTCATTAGCTTACGAGAGACCTCAACTTCACATATAGGATGCAGACTGATTTTATTAGCCATTTCTCAGAGAAAAAAGTGCGTCTTATATGCCGTAAAATATGGTATAAAAAATCACTTGGATTTTGTTGATACCCAAGGCAGCAAAGCACCCACAAGCACATGGCTGGCCCACAACATGAGCAGCAATAGGTTGTGATGTTCTCACACAAACATAGGCTTGACCAGTGATCCTTTTCCTCTTTACTTCCACACTTCTTTGACACTTCCGTGAGTAACCAGACACTCCAGGCTGATTATCACCATCACTGCTACTCATTATGAGGGCAATAATACATCAAAAAGTATAAAATATTAGAGTACATAAGTGAAACATGCATTCACTGCTGCTTGAATGATGAAACTGAGGCTGTGTAAGAGACGCTCATTGGCTGGCCAAGCGTCAAGTGACACCAATTGGACGGCAGCAAATATAGTCTTCTTTCGCCCAGTCACATGGTCTCAAAAGCCTTGTATACAAGGTGGATTTTCGAATTAATAGGTGCGAGCCCACCATACGATGTCAAGTCTTGTACAGTACTATAGAGCATGAACTGAGCTATCTGGAGACAAAATACGAATTTTTCGACCCTTGTCATGCGGAGCGCCTCATTTAAGGGCTGATGCTGTAATGTATTATTCACTGGATTTTTTTTTATACAATGTATCCTTTGAAGAAAAATTACCAAAGATTATCACAATTGCTTCAATATTTTGGCTCACTAAAGCACTCACTGTAGACCCAAGATTTTTTATTTCAAGATTCTTGCATTTAACTTCAGGTAGCTAATAATAGCTAGTGAATATGGATATAACATATGAATCTTCAGTAAACTTATTTTTTATATTCTGAAAAATATGTAAGTTTTGGGTAACTTATTAGAATTAGGTATGTGTATAGGGTTTAATAGGCAAAGGTTTACAAGCTTTCTTGTATTCACTTCAGGGTTTTATCATACACCAGCATTTATATGATTTATAATATTTTTGTAAGTAATCTGTACTTGCCATGTGCAGACACCAATTTAAAATATTCTGCATAGACCTTCCAGTCCACAGAATGTAATGGTTGTAATAGATCTCTTTTATACATGTCTTCCATTTTAATGGAATGAATGATGAGATCAGTACAAAATTGTGCAGCCGAAGTGTTGGTTTTACAACACCATCAACTTGTGCTAAAAGGTCACCATCAATTACTGAATCTCTTGTATGGATGTAAAAGTTTTCTTTTGCAGTACTATATAGGACTATTATCTTTACTGTACAGTATGTATTTATCTTTCTTCATGAAGTAATTTTTCTGTTAAAATCTTGATGATCCTTCTCATTGCTTCTTATTTCATATGAGTAAACAAAATTTGTTCATTGTATCTACAGTATTTATTGTTTTGTAAGTACACATGTAAAATTTTCTCATTTCTTTTGCACAATTTATATATAAATTGGCAATGATAGACCAGAAATGGAATTATCTTAAGCATTTTGTAATGTGGGCAGTTAATGGATTTCACGAAGTAAGAGCTTATTGAGATGTATCAAGTTTTCTTAGAGGACAGCTAGCTGCTTTTATGGTATTCCTTTGTAATTATTGGTTCACTTGTAACAGTACAGTTCTTTGGAACTGTGTTGCAGAATCTTGAATGTTGTATGCTATGAAACATACGAAATTATGAGAGTTGATAAAAATCAAATTTTATCAGATGTATTGCTCTGGAGGGGTCTGCAAAAATTACAGGGGAAGCCTTTGTGGAGTTGTGAACATATGGATAGAATGAGTATTTATTATACTGTACTGCAGGGGAAGATTGTAGAGGGGAGGGGTGGCTGGTTACTGTGGTGGTATGGGGTAGTATTTACTGTTTCTGTAAACACTGCTGTAACAGGAAATGTCATTTATGACTGAAAGTGTTAGACTGAAATGCCTCCTTCAGTTTACATTTATAATATAGTTTGCAAGCTTCGTTTATAAATAATGCCCTTCCAAGTAATTTTAAACCAAAGTTATTGTTATGCAGATCTTTAACTATAGTGTACAGTATTTATTTCTGACAGACATTTTATACATTTTCATCCAAGTTATATTATTGCAAGACTTTCAATGTTTATAAAACATCACAGTAATATTTCATTACAATGATTAAACCTATTGTACTGTACCCAGATCTTCTGATTCTCTAACACAAGACAGTATTACAACAAGTGGGTTAGTGGGTTTACAGTATAGAATTTAGAACCCTATACTGTAGTTGAACATGACATCTTGGTAGCCCCAATACTAGTCCACTATTTTCCATAATGAGTCATTGAATATGTCTAGAAGATTCTGAAGTATTTAAGTTGGATAATGCTAAATATTTTGAAGGCCAAAATAAAACAGGGATTGATTCCAGTCAAGTAGATAGGGGAAATATTTTGTGGTCTAATCAGTTACAAAGGAAACTCATGTTACATTATTTGTTTTCCAGGCTTATGGAAAGCATTGTAAATGTTATTTCCAACTGAAAAGCACAAATATTTCCATAATTTCAGTGAAGTTCCAGTTATGACAGTGAATGTTCCCTATTTTTTCTTAATACTGTACTTGTACACCAGATAACACTGTCAAGTAGGGCTATGCTTATTTACTGACGTTTTACGTTCACAGGTTCATTTTTATGCAGTAATACATATTTGCATCTGTACTGCTCGGTGGATTTTCATCACTGTCCTATTCATACATGATCTTTATATTTTGAACTTTTAATTTACAAATATTTTTTGTCCATACTGTATGTACTGCATCTTGAAAATGAAATTTTGAGTGGATCTCCTGTGTTTTAGTACTGGCTGGTGACTAGTAACAATTTAACTGGACCAAAGGCTGTGCCGAGGATCACTGTTATATTTTACTTGTCAATACAGTGGCCCCTCCATTAACGAACTCAATCCGTTCCAGAAGGTCGTTCGTTAACCGAAACCATTGTTTCAATGGGTTTTTGGGTAATTGGTTCCAGCTCACCGAAAATTTCCTAACTTCAACAAAAATGGCGGAAAAATTTACTTACTTTGAGGTGTGTATGTAGAAGGCTCCTGGATGATGGTGATGATGTGCATTTGAAGTGGGAGGTGCAGGAGGAGAAGGGAGAAGAGAAGGAAGTGGAGGTGGAGGAGAAGCATTTTACTGCTTCTTGGAAGGTGAGTCACCTTCCATGAAAATGTCAGGAACCTCTGGACTGACAGATTCTCCACCATGAACATCCTCTCTCCTTCTTGAAGTGGAAGGCTGAGGGCTAGCATCTTGTTCCCTCTGCCTTTTACTGAAGAAAGTGTCAATTGTGGTCTGTGGGGCATCTGTCCTCCTCACCATTAACTTATGTTTAAAGAAGGAGACCACTGAGTCCTCAACATGACACAAAGTTAGTTCAGTTTTTTCCACTTCTGGGTGCTTTGAAGCCAGTTCCCTGAACTTCTCCCAGTGGTAAATCACATCTTTCAACTGTTTAGCTGACATATGGTCATCACTTTCAATTTCCTCCTCACCACTGTCAGCCTCTACCCGTAACATCTCATCCAGTTCCTTCAAGTCATCAGGAGTAAGTTCCTCCTCATGAGACATCACAAGCTCTTCTACATCCTTCTCCTCCACTTCAAGACCCAATGACTGACCAATGGACACAATCTCCTGGTCCAACTCTGTGTCATCCTCAAATCCCTCAAAATCATGGACTACTGATGGCCACAGTGCTTTCCATGAAGAATGAGGGTTCTATTGGAGACTTCTTGCCATGATGACACAATCAATTTTACAGCCTCCAGGACGTTGAATTGTGTCTTCCAGAACTGTTTCAGTGTTAGTTCAGGATCAGCGGAAGTTGCCTGCCTGATGACACCTCCTAAACATTTTCTTCATGTACAACTTCTTGAAGTTGCTGATTACATTCTGGTCCATTGGCTGTATGAGTGATGTAGTGTTTGGAGGCAAAAACAACACTTTCACAAAGTCAAATTGATACTCCAAATTTCTGGCAAGGTCAGGGTCATGACCAGGAGCATTATCCATGAGGAGAAGAGCCTTTAAAGGAAGTTTATTGGTGGTTAGGTAGCTCTTGACAGAGGGGCAAAACACATCAACAGCCCATTCATTAAAGAACTGTCTTGTCACCCATGCCTTACGGTTGGACTTCCAATAAACTCCAAGCATTGTTCTTACCACTTTCTGTTGCTTGAACACCCTGGGGTTTTCAGAGTGGTAGACAAGCATAGGCTTCAGTCGGAAATCCCCTGAAGCATTGGCACCAAGCAGTAGAGTGAGATGGTCTTTCATGGGTTTATGCCCAGGTAAAGAGGCTTCATCTTTGGTGATGAATGTTCTTTTGGGCATCTTTTTCCAGAACAGCCCAGTTTCGTCCACATTGAACACTTGCTGTGGAAGATAATTTTCTTCTTCCATCAGTTTTTTAAATTCAACTAAAAACTTTGCTGCCCCTTCTTTATCAGCACTAGCAGCTTCACCATGCCTAACAACACTTAAAATGTCACTTCTTTTCTTAAATTTTTCGAACCAGCCTTTGCTAGCCCGAAAATCTTCAAATTCTGTTCCTGAAGAACCAGGTTGATCTGCCTTTAAATGTTCATAAATCTCCCTGGCTCTTTCACAAATGAAATCACCAGAAACTGAATCACCTTTCATCTGTTTTTCCCTAATCCAGATGATAAGTAACCTCTCAGTTTCTACGATTAGGGATCTACTTTTAAACACTCTTGTAGATTTGTCTCTCACATTCACTTCCTTAAATTTGTCTTTTTGTGCAAGAATTGTCGACACAGTTGATGCCGACATGCCATATTCTTTGCATAGCGCATTTGATTTAATACCTTGTTCGTGTTTTTTTATTATTTCCTGCTTTATTTGGATTGAAATCGCTTTTCTTGATCTCTTAGGCCCCATGCTGGATTCAAACAATGGCAACACGTATTTTTCAAAGTTAAACTAGCTGTAAATAAAGAATATTTTCTTTAAAATAACACTGCACTGCACTATATATTGTCAATATGTAAAATAATTTTCAAAATGACCAATAATTTGCTTGGAAACACAGAAAAAAAGCATTTAGTTGAAGAGAGTCTCAAGCAAGATGTTACCTCCAGTGAAAACAGAGAGAGACTGACGCCTGTTTGCTGTGTTAAGAGGCTGGATGCCGCGCATTAAACTAATCACTTTACCTTCAATTTTGCTCAATAATTGTTAAAATGACTAAAAAATTGAATATTAAACTTTTAAAATTATTGAATAGTATAAACTTCTTGATATTTACTAAAATAGTAAGGAATTTAAGCCCTAGAACCGATTAATGTATTGGCGGACTGATACTAAAGCTGGTTGCCCGGTCAGTGCAAGAGAAAACATGTTGAGGTCGGTTCGTAAGAAGTTCGTTAAGCAAAATTTTTTTCGTTAACCGAATTGAAGATCCCTATGGAAGGCAGTTCGTTAATCGAAATTACGTTAACCGAGGTGTTCGTTAAACGAGGGGTCACTGTATATACATCATATATACAGTACAGATTCATCCTGCAACGAACTGACATGTTAATTCTCTAGTGTGGCCAAAAATAACCGTCCAGTCATTTAACTCTAGTATATTCTTCCTCTCTTCTACGCAAGATGTTTATTAATCATTATGGAAAAATTTACCTACCTATCATTTGATCACTCGTCAATTCCACCTTCAACTGGGACCTGGATGTGGAACTGATGATGATTTTTTTTTTTTTTTTTGCACCAAGTTATACAGGAAATCCCAATGATCCAATTACATAAACAAGCAAAAATAAATCATTTGAAAAGGAAGTTTAGCATACAATTTATGCACGATTTTTGTTTTTGTCAGTTGAAAAAAAAATTCCAAACATTGGTTTAAAGTAGACTGTAGATTTTATCCTTTTTCTAAATGCTAAATTGATTGTGGCTTGGTTTGAAAAAAATAATTATCCCCTTCCATACAACTGACAATTTTTTTATTCATCCAATGGACAGGATTTTTTCCTCTCCTTACTGTGGCCAAATTTAAACAACTCTAGTTTGCCACAGCCATGTCATCATAAAACTGTATACAGTATAGGAAGTCACAAGTCTCTCCGAATGTCCAACTTACAAACACCTGGACATAGGAATGAATCTCAATATCAGCCATTTGGGTGGTTGATCTATCCAGTGTTAGTACAGGAGGGTAACCAGAATCTGTGATGTTTGGTAGGGGTCACTGGATAACACCTTTCTCACATGTGTCTGGGCCACATCTTGACATATTGGTGAGATACAAGCATTACTGCTGTACCACCAAGGTAGAAACTCCCATTTTTTCTTACCCAATTGAAATAAATTAATAAATCTAGAATATATTTTTAAAAAACTGTAAACTTAATATTTATATTTGAAGTACAGTATTGTGATGAATAATAACATTAGTCTACATTTTAAAGATTTTATATTTTTTGTGCCATAAACATGGCTGATAAGTGTAAGAGTGGTGCTTGTGATATGTCTATAATGTTTGTATTAAAGAAAAGATAAGCAATAATAGTAGACATGAAAATGGACACAATAAAAAATTCAAAGAAAGGAGAAATGCCAACACCGATTAGCTCCATGTTTGGTATGAATCAATTGAGAATCAGAACAATAATCAAAGATAAAGTAAATGATGATTTTTAATTAGGTTTATTGTTTTGTTATACAGTATTAATTATATTACAGTATTATTAATTATTTATTGCAATTTTACAGTATTTTAGCATAATTGTGACTTTTGTGGGCTGGCTTGGGAGCCTAACCATTTATAACATCACGTCTCTGAGATATAGTCCTGGAACAAACAATGTATGAACAAAATTTGGGAATACAACCCATTTGTAACCTGAGGACTTCCTGTACTGTATACATCGCTTTAGTCCAGTGTTTGTCTTTGCTTTACCTTAACACCTCCTGAAATTACTCAGGGATCATCACAAAAAATTAAAGCTGGAGACACCTGATGAGGCAAAGACATCATGTAAACAAGGTTACACAATCAATCTAACTCATTCACTACTGTGAATGGTAGGTGAAACGTGAGAGGACTGGCATAATAAAAGAAATTAAATATTGTAATCACTAACAATCTGCAATATACAATACTGTACACTTAAAATTTTTGAAATTTGTAAGCAAGGTGGACAAGACTTTTACAATGGTGCTTAATACTCAAATGTGGTGGGATAAAGATTAAGCTGAGTGGATTCACACACTGAACCTTTTGTGATGGTCTCTGGTTACTGTTAGGAGATTCTGGGAACTCCCTCTGACATGGAGTGAATTTCACTATCATTTTTTTATTATTAATCTGTTCACGGTATCCGGGACCCCTATGATTTTCCTGTCGGTGAATACATACGGTACTATTATATGGCTTCCAGTAGTTGTAACATAGATAATGCAAAAGATCTATTGGCAAGATGTATTTTGTAAATAGGTGGGTGCTAATTTGTAAATGCATTTAAATACTGTACTGTGTATGAATTTATAGTTCAGGTTATTGCTGCATATGAATTTTACTTCAAAACATACTAAGCTGCCTAAATATGTGTGCTTCCAAGTATTTTTTATCCTGCTGTATTTACCCTTTTTCCTCATACAGTACTACTTCACATAAAAAAATTATCATACTATACAGTAGTAGTAGTAATTTAATTTAGCCCATGAAATTTTTCATACTAGAGTACTCCTCCACACCCTGATCTCTACAGTACATATTCTTGTGAACTCAATTAAACACTTACTTCTTATCCTTCCTTCCTTGAACTTGCCTCTACATCTGCCCTCGTGTACCTAACTTCTCTACAGTCTTCCTGTTATTATCTTTGTAATTTATCAATCCTGGACCTTATTATTCACTTTGTTTCCTCTACTTTGCACCACTTCAATCTTTACTACCAGTATTGTACTTGCAAATGCATATTAGAACTTCCATTTCATTATTTTACAGAAGTAGATATTTCATTATTCCTATCAAAATTTCATACCTATTTCCATCCATAACTTACTCCCCTAAGTGCCCTTGCAATAAAATTCCACCTGGCATCACTAATTCAAGTCATGTTGATTATTTTTCCAATTTTATGTAAACGCTAATATATGCTGGTCCAATTATATTTTACATTCCATTTATTCACTTGAATTTGACCTAAAATAACTGTGTAAAAAGATGATTGTTCTGTCAAGGGAACAAAAGTAGCTCATGTGCATGATAATTAATTACTAAGTCAAAATGGTGGTATTTTTATGACATTAATTTGGGTGCATTTTACTCAAGAAATGTACTTACATTTTTGGAAGAAAAGTTAACAAGGTACTGCAGAATAAAGCTAAACGGGAAGACATTTCTTTTATTGTCTATGGTATTACAAGGAAAGGGTTTTGAAAAAATTATATATACTGTACATAACCCCTGTATATACTGTACACGACTTACGACCGCCGCAGTCTTCTAAAATATTTTTCAAATTACGTATTTTCGAGTCCCGACGTTAGTGATCGCGCTGTGTACTGACAAAATTTTCGTTTGTAATTCCCTTTAAAATGGCTGGCAAGCATAAAAGTGAGATTCCTCGTGGTGCTGAGAAGAAAGAGAGACACCCATCTTATATTTTCTATGTATTATTTTTTACTTACGACCTGGTTGTCGGTCCCTAACCCCGTCGTAAGTCGAGGACTGACTGTATATGCAATGATGAAAAAGTACCTTGTAATTTTAAATATGCTGTGTACTAAGGGGGTCTTCGGTCACAAAATGCAGTGATACTCATTATTTCACCCATTGTATAATTATTTTTTAATAATAAACAACATTATAAACTTTGATAACTTACACCTTCATGAATCGTGTAACCCGGTTAAACTTGCATTCTCAGAACAAATACAAGCATTCTTCATTATACAAAAGGGATGCCATCTGTGACGATGTTGTATGTGAAAATTTTTGTATAGTGAAGGCAATTTTCCCATAGACAAACTGTAGCATTATAAAATGAGGATGCATTCCTGAGGCTGATTGTCAAACACCACGTGTAATCAAAACTAACAACTAAATACTATACAAAAGACGTGACTCCATAAATCAGCACAGAATATCACTAAATGCATGACAAAATGAATACAATATTCACTATACAGTAGTCCCACACCAACCACGGCATTGAATTTCGAGTATCCCTGGTTTAGCACAGAGGCTTGGGATACTGCTGCCATCTTCATGGACTGATACAACAGCTGTTTTGTGTGTGAGGTTGAGCGGTATCTTGCCCAAAAAATCTGGGTTTAAAGAGTGTTGCTCATCATCAACAATGCACCCGGTTACCCTGAAGCACTCCAGACCACCCATCTCGGTATAGAAGTGGCATTTCTCCTTCCAAACACCACTTTACTTCTTCAGTATATGTACCAGTGTGTAATAGTCACCTTTAAAAGTTATTACACTCACCATATCTTCAGCAGTATCTTTCATCCCGTGGAGGTGGGCAGCACCTTAACTGTTTCTGACTACTAGAAGAATTTTAACATCTCAGTGATTGCATCAGGATAATAAAAGAATCAGTGGATGAAGTGAAGCAGTCAACACTGAATGTGTGTGGGGGGGAATATTTGGCTGAGGTGGTGCACAACTTCCATGGTTTCCCTTCAGTTGATGCCGAGGGGCATCATGAAGATTGCACAATTCTTGCCAGGCGAGGGGATATGCAACATGAAGACCAATGAGACAGAGGAGCTGATACGGTCCTCTAGTGATGACAAGGATGAGGATAAGCAATTTATGGAAATTTATCCTTTCATGGAGCACAACCTTGAAATTAAACATGCAAGGAGGTATACAGGGATCTAAAAAAAAAAAAGGGCAGCCATCCATCCTCAGCTTTTTTAGCAAGACCGCCGCTGCTACAACTGCCTCAATCACCAAATCAAAACCCTCCACCAAGTAGCTAAACTTCAATTACAGTACCACCAGTCAAGATGTCCTTGCATCAACCACCTCATCAGACATTGATGAACCAGAAGAGGCACAGGAAGAGAATGGGGCCCCGTTCCTCTCTTCCTTATAACCACGTCTTCCTCTAAACCATGGGGCCCCGTTTCTCTCTTCCTTATAACCACGTCTTCCTCTAAACCATATCATCCTTATCCACCATCCTCCTCAGTAAAGGTAAATACCCCTTATACTGTTAAATTTATAGTACTACTGCATTTAATTTTTACCATGCTATTTATATGTAATTACAATGCAGGTACAGTATTGTTTTGCGAAGAAACAGGCAACTTAGTTCGGCTTTAACAAGTGCTATTGGTGGCCCGGGAACCTAAACCCTGATTTCCCATAAGCCTTTAGTCTCACCAACAGGGTTTTCCAGGAACCTAACGCTGCGGTTGGCGAGGGACTATTGTAATGTAAATACTGTGCATGATTTTGACTCATTTGCAAGAGTACAGTAATTATTTCAAGTCCACAAATTTCTAAAGATTCCACTTGCAGAAGTTTAGATACAGGTGCAGAAACTTGCTGTACCTCATCACAGAGGAGGGAGGGTTAGACAGACACTGGTGTAGCCCCTATGTGTACCTCATCTCTGAACTATCCACAACCGAGACCACTGACCAATTGATAGATGGATGCTCCCAGATGCCTGTGTCAGTAGCTTTCAATGATACAATAAAAAAAAGATTAACTTCTGGTTTTTCATTCACATAAAGCACATGATAAAAATTACCAACAGAAGCAGTCACATAATATGAAGGACAAGTCCCTTACCTGATAGCTTGACCCCTTTAATTTAAAATAACAGTAAGTGCAATGATTTCATTGGACCAATGCATTTATATTATAAAGTAATGCTTCTTTTATGATGTTAGATTTAAATACTATTACCATAATCAGTTCTCATTATTTTACTTCCCTTCAGTGAAGTGAAATTGTTACGAGATATGATTTACTATCCATTCTTGTATAGCATTTACTATTTTTGCAGTTTTTTTATATAGTTGTATATACATACAGTATACTGTACTTACATTACTAGGTCAAAATAATAATTCAAGGTAAAAATATAACGTAGTTTTTTTTTTTAGGTTTTATGATAGAAATGTTTTGGGAATTACTTTTGGAAATTCAAGTTAATCCTTCATATTCTTTTGCTAAGTACCCTAAATGGGATAAGTAGGCTTGGTTTCTATCAAATAAACTTGATATTTTAATATTTGTTTTGTTTATATTTTCCTACTGGGAGGAACCTGCAAAAACATACATCCACAACAGACAAAAAAGTACAGTATACGTAAATAGAAAATAACCAGACATGACCCTTATCCACGATTCCTCCAAAACATTAATAGGTATACAGTACTGTAAACTAAACTATCCACTTCTTGTTAGAGGAGCAGAGTTCAGAAGACTCATTTTGACAGATGCTAGAGAATCAATTCCTACAATGATTAGTAAGGTACAGGATATCCTTTTGTGTAACTAGCAAAGATATAGGAGTACAGTAGTTAGCACATACAGGGAATTAGGTATGCCAACACTCAAACCAGATCATTTCAATGCACATGGGACATTTGTACTGCAAAGCTCTGTAGCACCATTATTGTACAGGTAAAAGTAATTAAGTACCTGTACAATACAATACTGTACAACCACAAAGATTTATTAATTGCAAAATACCTATAACTGTACTGGTACTTTCACAGTAGTTGTAGCAGAAATTGCTTGTAATATATTGAATGGTACATGGTGCTTTAACAAGTACACCTGTAACTGAGTGATAGATGGTGCAATTATGTTCAATGGATGATGGTACTGTACGCGGTCAGGATATCAAAATCTTTGCACCAATAGACAATCATAATCTTTTTCATCTTTGACGGGTAAAACATATTATACACACTTAAATACAGATATAAAAACAAGGAGAGAGATAGGAACTATAGGAACTTAATAAAGGCCCTCAGACACTTTGTATGTACAAAACAAGTTTATTTTATAAATACAACTTTATACAGTTATAATATATATCTATATGCATATAGTGTAGTAAAGAACATGTGAGGTGTATAGTTTGTAATCTTGGTTTTCTAAAAACATGTAAAAATCATAAGTGATCAATTGATTGAAAGACAAAAATCACATAACACATGAAGTCTACACATATCTCTGGGGAAGTGGTCGGCACGGGACGGGAGCGCTTCTATTGATATCTGGCAATTTTACTTCCCAATGGTGGCCAAGGACCTTCACACCCATTCTCTGGGAGAATAACGTTTAAAGTCCTGGCCAATCTACCGACATGCACACTGTTGCTTGAATAACCAAGCCTACGTTGAGTTTGGAATGGTGGTATATCACAATAGCAATGAGAGAAGGTGACACTACATACAATATTGTACGTTATACAAGCCAGGTACTGTACATTCAAGAAGCTCCAGCCCCAAGGGAGCCCAAATCTTGCTCCATCCTCGTGCTCGGCGCACACCAAAGAGAAGATGCCAGAGTGCCAATGATATCAACACTACTGGACAAAATCTTACAGCTTAGATGCCTTTGTACATGTGGGGAGTTGAATGGCAGTTAGACTGAGTTCTAGCCTGGAGTTTAGGATTTAAAGAGGGAGTGTACATCTGTTATCACAGCAAGCCACAGTGTAGGCAGCGAGCAGACAGTGAAGGTGCCATTGCAGCTCTCACCAATCTGCCCACCTGAGCAAGGCACGGAGCTGGTGGCCAGCAGCCCTTCTCTTGAGAGGGCGGCCACCCTCAGTGGTCTCAGAGCGCTACATTTCGCCATAAGATGACCAAGCTCCACCAATGCCCTGGGTGATGCATTTGCACCACCCTCACAGCCACAACAGCCCAGTACCACCACCACCAGAGCCACCCTCACAGCAGCAACGGCAGGTGGGAGGCATGGGCCGAGGGCAGCAGACCTGACCCTACGCCTCATGGCAGGAGTGACCCATCATGGTAGCATCGAGTTAGGTCAGGTTGGGCAGGTCAAGTAGGACCAAGAATTTCTAGTATTGGGCGGTTATTCATAGCTATGTTCCAGGTACTCTTCGGTCTTGACTGTGACAGACAGGTTGTGGGGCTCACAATTTAAGTTTTGGGGATGGGTGTCCATGGGAGCAGGTGCAGGGGCATGATACTGATGATGAATGGATGACATGGAGAGATCTGTGGGGCCTTCCTCCTCCTCCATTGGAGCAGGTTGTACAGGAGCTGGGGTATCCTTGGAGCGTGGGGACTGAAGAGGAGTAGAACGCAACATACTGATATTCTTGATACTCTTCAGTTCTGAGGGGTTACGGAGGAACTGGTAACAATGACGCTCACCCTGAACCTTGCGGAGAATATTGACACGGTAGTAATACCGCAGAGCACGGGACATCTTGTCATAATTCATGCTCAAGTGATTTTTCTGTATTCCCCATAGACGTGCCAATCCTGGTGGGTCCACAATTTTGAATACCCCAGTATCACGGTTTTTCCACGCAATGTAACGAGAATACCGCTGTTGTGGATCGTTCAACAGTTGCTGTAGGAAATCCCAAAGAAGGCGCCCATTAGTGCCAGTCTCAACAGGCTCTTCACTCGGTCCAGTTTGGCCCTGAGGTTGTAGTGGTGGTAATGGTGGCTGTGAATGATGTTGATGCTGATGATGAAGCTGATGTGAATGTTGATGTTGCTGTAGCCCCTCCTGGTGTGAGTTAACAACGGAGTTAACGGCTGCAGCAGCAGCAACAGCTCGCCGACACTCAGTGAGGTGCTTAAGAGAGGCTAGAGCATGGGCAGGGAATGCCGACACAGCAGTGGCATTATTTGGTGGCAGGGGAGACCGCTGGGGCGATGAAGAATCTCGTGTCGAGTCTTCGGAGTCTGACTGACTGCCAGAATGAGCAGACCCTGTGGAGGCAGCAGAGGAATGGTGGTAGGCTGCTGTAGAGGTAGAGGAGGTTGAAGAGGCTGTGTCAGGATGGCGGGGCGACCCTCCACTCTGCTCTGATGGTGCAGGACTTAGTGTAACAGAGCCACCCTGGTGCAGCAAGTGGGTAAAGCTGTGGATGTCCGGGCTCATTAAAGACCATGGCTGTACAGGTGAAGAAGTGAGGGGAGAAGGGGAGAGTAGTGGGTGATGAGGCGTGATCGGGGATTGAGGCACCTGTGGGGCATCACGCAAGAGGAACTGAAGAGTGTTGTGCAGGATATCCCCAGCTCCTGGTGCACGGTCTGCCAAGTCTGATTTTGTCAGCATGCATAATGCCTTTCCTGAAACAAAAGAAAATGTTGATTAAGACTCACTATGAAAACCATTTTACATACAGTTAAATAAATATGGAACAAAGAACTTCTGTCAATTTCTAAATACTTTCTCAAAAATAAAAATTAAATTACTTACAGTATCTTATATCTGGGAATTTTTATCAATTAGGTCCAGCTAAGAACTCCAGTCTTATACAGGGTACAGGCCTGATATATGCTTCATGTGCAACCAACAAACGTTCATAATATCCCTCTGCTTCCTTTTATTTTCCTTAACTATGGTGGTCACAACAGACTACTCACCATTCATGCAGAACTTGGAGAGATCGATGGTTGGCAGTTCAAACTCACGCTCAAACCACCGAAGGAATGATGTCACATCATCACGGGACCACATGCGTGGGTCCACAGCTGTTGAAGAAGCACAGTTTACATTAGTAACCCAAGTGTGAGAAATACACAGTAAGATTTCAAAGATTCAAAACAAAAACCTGACCTCCTATACTATAGCTCCTTGTGCCTGTCAGTGTATGCTCCTCTATCATTGTTATTTCACAAAAAAAAATTACTTTCATTTCTTACAATTGTTGCTGCTCGTATGACAATTCTATTTAAAGCAGCTGTAGTACTCGTCAGTTAAAATCACTGCAGCCTTAGTTTAATTTATTTTTAATGATTTCAGTCCCCTATATGCTTGTAAATTGGGCCCTCAATGCCTCGTGTAGGAGTCACTAGTGACCTCTATAAAAATCTGTCAAGTCATTTAAAATAACTATCTGGCTCTGAATAATTTGTACTAAACACTAAAGTTCTATATTTTGAATCGGTAACTTATATTTCAAATCTATCACAACAAACAATTTCGGTCTTGTACACTCCTTCCTCACTTAAAATTTAATAACTTCACACTAGAGACAGAGACGTTTACTTTTAAAGGCACAGTAATTCAATAAATCCTCCAAAATAAGCAAATATTACTGCACAAGTTCACTATCTTAACCTTCACTTCTTAAGATCACTGCCTTACAGAGTTGAAGTCACCAAGACCACATGTAAACACCAGATCAAAGTGCCACATTCATAACTCACCACAACAGTTGAAGTAATTCAGCATTTTGTTCGATACACTGTTCTCTTCAAGGTATTATAAAACTGACTATAAACGTCTATTCTCAAGTAAACACCTAAGTCCACAAATGCGTCACGTTTTCAAGTATTTAAAACACCCAAAAGCTAAAATAAACACAAGTCAAGCTTCAAATAATATGAACCGCTTTGTACACAAGTCCCGACTGGTGTTTCGTGGAATATTATCGGTATTAAGTCCCAACTTGGCGGTGAAGGAGAGAGGTGTAGTGCGTCACTCACCGAGGTGTGTGGGCATCTGGTTCTTGACGTCGAGCATCGGGGACGAAGGCGACGCGGACTGAGGCAGTGACAGTGGGTACCGCCACAGCAAGTCAGGACTGAACGGCAGCGCCATTCCCACACGGTTTATATCTGGAGTCAAGTTCAGCGGTGGCACCTTCATACTCTACAGAAAACGGCGCCTGTAACCTGCAAATGGAAGAAAACGAGAGTTAACAATAGAGAATGGGAAGGTAATTGTGGGAATATAATTATCAGGCCATAACCCTAGTTCACACACTTAACCCCGCATTGCCGAAAATAAATGCCCACACAATAAGTGAAAACTCCAATACTTTCAAGAAAAATATTTTTCAACAAGAAAACTAAAAGAGCAGTTGATGGGGTTACAAAGAATAAACACATCTGAAGGAGTTGGCGGACACTGACCAAAATAGTTCATGAGGGGTAGTGAATGGTAAAGTTACTCAACGCTATTGACTCGGATGTGTCAGCACACTTGTACCAACACTCCACCAAGCTGTCCTTGAGCACTTTACGTCCACACCTTCACATCTTGTCTTCCACAATACCCAACACGACCAAAAACAAAATTAACGTATTGTAAAAGCGCCATAGCAAATCTTTGTGTAACAATGCCCTTTTAATAAATACACGTTGAGATTGTAACCCTCCGACATGGCAATACCGACCCTTGTAGCGCCTGGTAAATAGCAGTCCCGGATGTGAGCCAGTGACTCCTTCCGCGGAGTACAATGCAGATGGTGGGGGACGGCAGGCAGAATCTGGTGTGTTCATCTGAGAGGAGGGCACCAGGGTGTGTGGCGTAGCGTGGCCACAACAGGTGCGGGAAACAGAGCGTGTGTCCTTCCCTTCTCGACACACACGTCAACATCAACCCTCCTCCAAATCTTAATGGTCCTCTGACATCGTATTCAACACTCGAGAAGCTTAAAGGTATTACGACTACTCAACATCGCTCAAATCAGAGATACTGAACACTAACTCCTAACTACCACTGTTGATATTTTAGTTTTCACTAGTGGTATACAAGTGGTAGTTAGGAAGCCATATCTAAACAATTACTGTGACCTCGGCTTTAGTGGTATCCTTGAGTGCTCATGCCAAGCTTTGTTCAATAAACACTAAATACGACAAAACACTGGTCTTAATCACGCTTAGTTTTGCGCCATACTTAATATCAATCACTTGTTCTATTTATGTATTACCATGTTTGAAGAAATGACCAACAACAAAATTATGAGCAAGAAAAAACAAAGCAATAACCATTTGTCACGGAAAAGATAGGAGCAGCCAAAAAGTACAGAGCGATGACGTAAAAAACAGTTCGTAGACAGCGATGATAGTCACCAGTTACTCGAGAGGAACGACGCAGTAACCGGTTACTAGATGGTGTTGAAACAACGAGAGGCGACACTTCCGCCCATTCATGCTGGAGGATCTTGGGAGGTTTTGGAAAAAACCTTCAGACTGGCTAATCAGAAGAAAATCTCAGATAAGACGCTGATAAAAAAGGGAAGAGCTTCCTGGTGAGCAACTGAGGTGGGAGAGACAGGAGGCGAAGGAAAAATGGAAGAATTGGAGATAGTGAATGGGCACGATAAGAAAGGACAATAGTTTTAGGAGTGAGAAGCGCGAAAATGGAGATCAAGAGAAAGGAATAGAAAGAAAAATGAAAAGGTATTGAGACCTGTAAACACATTAGAGATGGCGACCGACACAACACAATAAACTTTGAAATCTCCGCCGCAACAGAGTAGCCAGGGAGGTAAATCAGAGAAGGTTGGAGGAGGCAAGGGAAGAGGAGGAGGGGGAGGATGCCGATGGGTGAACAAAGAGAGCTTCCTGTCTCTCTCAGCTCCGGGACTCACGCCGCGAAACGGGTGAAATGCCGTCATGTGGAAAGATTTCGTTTCCTACCTCAATATTCTGTGTGGTTGTTTTTAATTGCCGCACCTGGACTGGGGACTCACGCGCGCTACTGAAACAAACCATACAACGGCAGAGATATTTTGGACCACCTGAAGATCCGCTCCCCTCCCCCATAGGTTATTGGACAATCTACCTTAATGCTGCCTGGGGTAGATTAGGTTAGGAAGTGGGGTAATGAGGCAGCCATAAGACAGGGCGCGGGGTAATGTGTATTGATGTGCCCCTACTACATTTTCTTCAGCCAGCATCAACAGGTGAACAGGATCTTATGGGTCGTCTTCCACCTTGTTTATCCCCTCTTGATCCTTGAACCACCCGTCTGCCCTCCTGATAACAAAAATATCTCGCACTTTAGTAATAACTCTGACGCTGTACGTGTAATGTCTTCATAAATAATGCCATGCACACACTCCCATTACGAATAAAATGCTTCGTATATGTCGTGTCTTTACTTCAGTATAACTGATGAACACTTCATCATTATATCTTTTGCCTTATTTGTAAAAGCAAAATGTTAAATGTACACTCATCACGAACACAGGTTGTCTAAACAAGTCCATTTTCTCTCTCCTCTTAGAACTCGACGAGCTAAACCTAATCAACTCTTTATCACAATATATTAATTTTCCTACTGCGAGTGATGCTTTACTGAAATTGCTGCCCCCCCACCCTTCCCTCCACAGAATCTTCTCGTCAGCTGTGCCCGAGGCCCGGATGCTGACCTCCCCCACCCCCCCTCCCTGAGGAGAACACGCCGGAGATGACCCCCTCCCAGCCCACCCCTCACCTAACCACTCACAATTTACATTTCCCTCTCCTACCAGCGTTTATTCTAGATACAAACCTGGCCATTTAAATAAGGTGTATAGGTTTATGTATCAACCTGCGATAAGACTGGTGTATGGTAGTGGTGTGTGTGTGGGTGTGTGTGTGTGTCGGGCGGGGAGGATCAGTATGGGGGCAGGCAGGGAGAACCAAGGCGGGGCGGGTCAAGTTAGTCATTACCACCCTGGACACAACGTGGCCAGAAAAACATGCGAATCTCCAGTGTAGCCCGGAGCCAGGCGTCGCCAGAGCCGCTCCTCCACTCTCTCACTCACCATTCCGGCCCTTAGCGACCCGTCTTACCTGCGGCTAAGGTGTAGGTATGTAAGAGAATAATGACGCACATCCGGTCTCTACCAATCTCAATCTCATCTCCTGCCACCTGAATACAAAGCCCCATCCCCTCCAACAAACACCAACGCGAAATGACCCTTAGGAGACCCGTCATTAAGGGCGAGAGTGTGGGTGATGCGGGAGTGGGTGAGGAGCCCCGCAGGCCTTCGCCCAATACCCCGAAGATGACAGTCAGGTGGGGCATATGCCCGCCAAAACACCCTCGCAACTTTCGCCTTTATGGCCTCACGTCCCAAGGTTCATCCCTAACCTGGCCTGGCCATCCACCTGTGACCCTTCCCAGTACAAAAGGAAGGGTGGAAAAGGCTTGAAGGAAGAGGGTGCACCGCAGGGCATTGGAGGGGGTGGGGGAAGGGGTAGGAGGTTGGTGTGGGGGGTAGCGGACAGGTGAACAGGGTGTGGGAAAACTTGGTGGAGGAGAGTGGTGAACCTTAAACCTGGTCATTGTCACCCACCCACTCGGGGCCGCCCCACCCACCTGTAATTAAGATGGTATTTGGCCTCTTGCAGGACTCTCCTCTGTCTGGTCACAACAATCATGTACCCAGAGGCGGCCACACTTATACCTCCTGCTCTCATAGCACTACACCCAACAATTTTCCCAAAACATTAATGTGATTACAAAACTTTTACATTCACCATAACATGCGTCCCTGTGTACTCGCTTGGCCAGATTTCCCGACGTACACAATTACAGACTTCATTAAGCACACTCGTAGACTTTCAGACATACATCCATATTTACATTCATTCGTGCAAGAGCCAAACAGATTTTCAGGCATGAGCTTTCGTACATACAAACAGTCAGACTCAACACGAACACAAAGACACACACACCCCACACAGGCAATATTCAGATAACAGTGTACTGTAGATGTGGCTTGCGTTGTGTAAGGTGTAGAAGCAGGCGGGTGGTCGGGGCGGGGCGATGACAAACAAGGCAGATGACAGTGGGAGGAGAGAGATGGCCAACACGTATTGAGGAGTTGGGTAGCAGCGTGTGAGTCACGAACATGGTAACTGGATCCCTGCTGACCCGCACCCTACCACGGGGCCACATCCGGGGCTCTGTTTCACGCCCACCCCGCCCCGACCTACACTTGTTGAGGGCACCACGGGGGACCACCGCCCCTGCACCCTCTCAGGGGTCACGACACAAGGGGTTACTGCCGAGAGGGGAGGACGGGTTGGAGCGGCGAGGGGAGAAGCGATTTGTTGGGGTGAGGGGAGGGCGGAGGAAGCAACGAAGTGTTGGGATGGGGATGGACAGGTTGGAGGGTCGACAGGAAGACGGGCTGAAGGGGCGAGGGGAGATGAAGGTTGAGAGAACAGAGATAAAGAGGGAATAGAAGGGGGCGAGTTAAGTGATTAAGGGCAAGAGGGGCGGATAAAGAAAACAGACCAAATTGTGACTAGGGCCAGCTGGAGACATGGGATGACTCAAGCTCTCAACCAAGACCAAAGGAAAAGAATCGACTCAAACAGCAAAATAAAAGAGAGAGAGAGAGAGAGATATGGGCACAATGAGGAGCAAGGGAGGGAGGGGCAAGGGAGGGGGGGAGAGTTGAAGGGTACAAGCGTTTATAGTTTAGTTAATGTGATAGTCTCCCAAACGCTATGCACTTGTTACAACCTTGTACCTATTAATGCTTGTACATTACTGTGCTCAACACCAACTTGTATACTACCACTGAATACAACGACATCACTATCACCAGTGGTAGCGAGGGAGGGAGATGACACACAGTGACGTGAGGGAATCAAGTGACGTGAGGGAATCAAGTGGGGTGAAGGAGGTGATGAGGGATGGGGGTGGTGGCAGGTTGTTGCCGCGTAGGACAGACTCTCCCACACCCTCCACAAAGACACAAGATGATGACACAGTACTGTGGGGAGCATGAAGATAAGGAGAGGTCTTCCCCCCGATACACGAGGGGAGACGGGCTGGGTTCAAGGGGTGGCCCGCCTGCCATTGACACCACCCAAGGGTAACCAGTGCACCATCATACTGTGCCTCACTTCACACATCCTCCCTCGCCTCACCTGAGGCTTAACAGTGCCACACACGCCCACATCACGTACTGACGGGGACGAAATCCACACTTATCGTCTTGTGTAACTTGGCTGTTTTTCCCTGGTCAGGACTCTGCCACACCCTGTGTCTCCCCAACATTCTTTCTCATCCTCCCACACGTCCTCCCCCTCACTGGTTGTTGTCAATCCCACATTTCCTGGCGCAGGTCCGGCTGGGTGAGGGGCCGCTCGTCTAGGCCACCGTTAAAAGCACACACTCATTAGCGCTGCGCCAAGTTAGAAGGTCCCTCAGCCCGCCTGCCACCTTCCCTATTCTCACAGTCATTTCCGCGTTTGGTCTGTAGCCTTGAACGACGCTCAATAAATCCTGACAAGCTGGACAGAAGAAAAAACTCGAGTAAAACAAGAAATACCCGCTTTAACCTCAGTGACTAATAAACACACCAAAGGAAAGATACCCCTTACTTTGGCCTTTATGATGACATTATATATTACCAAACAGTTGAGAAATAACTTGACTTTCAAAATAATGATCTGAAATGCAATTAAAGAGAGAGGTTTAAGGAGTCGGGCAGCGAGCGACAATAACTCAAGACGTATAATGGAGGGCAGGACAGACCTCACCCAGGCCACCAGAGATAAATGACCCACACACAACACACTTTTGAAATCGATCTCCTCAGCTTCCCAGAAAGTACAACCACGATCACTGGCACCTCACGCTGTATGTATGATTAAATGCAAGTGTGTGTGTATGTCCCATTATCAGGGGGAAAGTGTCTGAAAATAGTACTTAAACTTTTGAGACAAAGCTGCCCGTTACGAGGCAACAACACTTAGCGGCCCCGTGTTGTCAGTCACACCTTCATCTCCCTCACCAGCGATACCGACTTGATTTATAGCCCATCATAATACTTAAGCCCCACTGTGTATGACCCGACCCACAAATACCTCCACTAAAAATAATTTTCCACTAACACTGGATTACAAGATATAAATGTTCCATGAAAAAGTGAGAATAATATTTAGAGCATTAGTTGATTACGTGTCATGGGAAACTAAAGAGCCAGGGGGGTTCGGAGGCAGACGTCACCAGTCCGCAGAGTTTATCACCCCATGACCGACACGTGTAAACAAAACCCACAACTGCCGTCTTGGCCACACTCACCCAGCAGCACCCCAACTGCTGTCAACATTTAATCCACGCAGTTTACATACTGAACTTAATCAGTCACAGATAACGCTTTAAACAAGGAAAACAAAAGACGATAAGCATAACACGTAGGCGGACACCTGCGCCCCGGACAGTATCAGTAACAAACAGGCTGGAACGCGCATTCGTGTATTCCCACACTCCCAAGGAACAGCAAGTAACGTAATAAATACCAAGAATGTAACAGGGTAGATTAATCCACTATAGTACACATAACGTAAACACAACATTTAGTTACATACGTTTTCAAAAAGTTGCCCGTTAGGTGAAACTAGTGCTGTATCTTATCTATGTTCGCAGTGAAATTCTCATTAAAACGCTGAAGATAAAGCCAACTTACAAGTAACTTCCTCTGTGACGGGAAGTGACACATTCTTGTTTACAAAAAAAAAGAAGTGAATATATAACTATGAGCTTCACAAAATACACCACAAACGTCTCTGAACCATTAACAATCACCCTAGGGACAATAACATTAAATCTAAAAATAACTTGCATAATATACACGTCATCTAACCTAACCTTTAAATCACCATGAACTATTCTAAAAACACATTAAAACGACACGGAAGAACACGTGAAGACTAGCCTGATACGAGTACGCGGAGGATATCAACGTTAAAAGAACGGGTAAACACGGCTATCAAAACCCTAAAAGAGTGCCCGAGGAAAGTAAGCCACGGCGGATGGTATCGGTGGCCAGCGGTGGTAGTCCGTCACCAACATAATCAGACCATTACGACAAATGGCTGGTGATAAGCGTTATCTCCCACATGGGGAAGCACGCAACATATCTCCACCCCGGCAGGAAATGGAGATAAAAGGTCCAATCAACAGGTTAACACATTTTTCTGAGTAAGTTGCGACATTAACTTATTATCGAGGTCTCGTAACTTTTGTTTATATTTACTGTTACTCTGGCCAAGTCGATAACATGACTTCTTGTATTTATCATTTACAAACAAAAACAAACTTAAGTGAACTTCTAAACTTGTTCAAAATATCAATCCATTACAGTATTGTATTCGCCAGAAAAACTAATGAACCTTAACAATACACATGATCAATTAAGCTGCCCAAAACACTCGGCTCACGTGACACCTATGTTGAAAATGACATCTTCAAGGCCACAACAGTCACAGCTGTAGTTAATAGCATAATATATTAAAAATATGCCTCCTAGAAAATAATATAAATCGACCGGAAATCGCCCGAGTGTGCGTCATATCCAAGTCTCGGAGGAGCGGCAGCGTGGCTTGCCCTGTGACATATCAACTGTGATAGGCTGTATCAGTGGCGATGGGGATAAACATTCCCAGATTATAACAATTAGGGCGACATGTCTGGTCCTTCGTGTGTCGTTCTGTTGCGTCAGATATATGTTGACACAGCTACTGTTGTTGACACTTTAAACGGTAAACATTCTGACAGACAGAGTACTTGTTTTATTAGATAAATATCACGTTTATCCTTCACTGTCTACTCATAACAGATTCTGTCCTCAAAAGAATAACAAAGTCACTGTTCAACACTTGAGTTTCTTGGTTATAACGCCTGGTCTTGTTTGCATGTTGGTGCACTTAATAAAATAAAAATCCACAGGCTGACAGGTACATGGTGTGACACTTGAGCATAACATCACTTCACCTTCCGTAGCCAGTTTTCACAAGTTCAGAATCACCACAAAAATCAGAGTCCAAATTTTCTGTTAAGTTCTTCAATGAATACCACATATTTCCAACAAATACATACACTGGTTATGACAATATATCCCCATACACACAATCCCCATAGTAGTAGAATAGAGAGAAAAGATGTGCATATCGACCTTACTTACAACGCTATAACAACAAACACCTGTTCGCCACAAATGCAACACACTCCAACACACACCTCAAAGAGCGGCTCGTAAGGCTGCCTGTAGCTATGAGGGTACAACGCAGACTAAAGCATTAGGCAGACTTTCAGGGGAGACTCAGCCTTCCGGGGGGAGGAGGGGGTACACCAGCTCACCTGCCAACAACCGCCATCCACTGTAATTGCTTATCCGTTAGTTTGCTTATATCTTGCTCTTTTTCTCGCGTTGAATGTCATTTATGTTTATATAATCACCAGTTGACGGTACAGAACATCTTAACAAACTAATAACATCAAGTTTTCATAGAGAAATATCAATTTTCACTTTACTTCCCGCCTGTAGGTGATGCTGCCAACACACTCACGTCATTTATTAAACTGTCCTATGGCTTTATATTCTTCATTCTAGGGTAAATTATGTACTTCAAATTACTCAATGTGTTTACCTTAACGTGAAGCAACTTTCATTGTAGAGCGAGTTTGTGATTAAGAGAGAGTTAGGAGGCGGAGATGAAGCAGAGATACACAAGATGCGTTCTTCCGCCCACTGTACGATGCTGACACCCAAGACTGATCCCCACCACGCTGCCAGGCGCACGAGTACACACTTCCAGGTTGGTAGCATGTACAAAAACGTGTGTCTACGATGAAAAGTAAGGCCAAAGATTTATTTAACTGGCATACTACATCCCTACAACTGCACACTTCAGAGGGACCACAATATTCTTGGAATTCATAAAACAACAACAACTAGACTGCTTCCTGTTTCAGTTTTCAACTTAATAAAGTACTCTGCCAGCATATAATACTTTGTTTACATGTTTAACAAATAAAGACCAGCTCGTTACTTCATGTAAACATCACTAAATGCGCACTATAAGATATAAACAAATATACAATATCTTTCCCAGAGCGAGCGAGCGAGCGAGGTGGAGAAATGGACAACGACGACAACAAGAGCGAGGAAAACGGGGGAGGAGGAGGAAGGAGGGAGGTGACGGGAAGAGGAGGAGGGGTGGTGCGGAGGGGGGGTAGGGGTGACGGAGGATGAGGAGGCTGTGTCTGGCCACCTGAATGACGCGCACTCCTTCCCTCAACCTCCCTTCCTAGCTATCTCCCTCCCTCTCCCCTCCCTGCCTCCTCCCCCCCCTTTCTCTCTCAACCCCATCCTCCCTCCCCCTCTCTCTTCCAACCTTCTTTATTCCTTCCCACCACCCCCTCTCTCTCTCAACCTCCCTTCATTTCCCCTCTCTCTTTCTCAATCCTCCCTTCCTCTCCCTCTCACCCCGCTTCCTCCTCTCTTTCTCAGCTTCCCTCACTTCCATCCTATTAGTTTCAACGCCCTCTTCTACCTCCTTTCCTTATCTATATACCCCTCTCCTTCACTCCTCCCTTCCTTCTCTCCCCATCTCTCCCTCCTGTTTTACCTCCCTACCATCTCTATCCACCCCTTTCCTTCACTCCTCCATCCCACCTGTCTCCCCTCTATCCACCACTCGCCCACGCGGGTTTTATGCTCAGCCGTATGAAATGATAAAGTGAATTTCATGATTAAGATACGACACAACAAGCCCCAGAACATGACAGATGCTTGAGAAACGGACCAAATAATAATAATAGTAACAGCAACAATAATAATTATAGTAATAGTTAAAACAACAATAATAATAGTAATACCTAAACAGTTACACTTAAAAGATAACATAATATTAGTAGTAATAATAACACCCTGAGCCATCATTAACAAGAGCTTGAGATCATCACTACTTCAGAATATAACAAGTTCCAAACTAGCACAGGTGAAGGAAACAGGTAAACAAACAAAAACAATACGGGTCACCTGAAGATTAACCACGCAATTACTAACTTAACCTAACGCTAAATTAACACTGACCTACTTAACCTAACGCTAATATAACCTAACGCTAATCTAACCTAACGCTAATCTAACCTAACGCTAATCTAACCTAAACGTTGACTTAACCACCCTAACGCTAACCTAACTTACAGCTTAATTTAACGTAACCGAACCTAATCTAATCTAAAGCAAACCTAACCCAGACCCCAGGTAGCTTTAGGGCGATTAATCAACTGGTGAAGGGCTAATCTTCAGGTGATCCACAAACACTTACCTGTGGAAGGTGTAGTAGCGGACTTGTCTGGTAGAGTTGTGTTGGTAGGAGGGGTGGGGAGGGGGGGGGAGGATAGGAGAAGAAGGGAGGGGGGGAAGAAAGGGAGGAAGGAAGAAGAGGGAGGAGGGGAGGGGGAGGAAAGGGGAGGGGTGGGGAAAGAGGAGCAGTGGAGAGTGGAAGAGAGAGGGAGTGGAGGGGAAAATAAGGATGGAGAGGGGAGAGAGAGGAGGGAGGGGAAAGAGGATGCGAGGATGGGGAAGGAGGGAAAATAGGGGGCAGGAGGGGAGAGGAGGGGTGAGAGTACAGGGAGAGTGGAGGGTGAGAGTACAGGGAGAGTGAGGGTGAGAGTAGGGAGAGTGAGGGTAAGAAAGTACAAGGGAGAGTGAGGGTGAGAGTACAGGGGAGAGTGAGGGTGAGAGTACAGGGGAGAGTAAGGGTGAGAGTACAGGGGAGAGTGAGGGTAAGAAAGTACAAGGGAGAGTGAGGGTGAGAGTACAGGGGAGAGTGAGGGTGAGAGTACAGGGGAGAGTAAGGGTGAGAGTACAGGGGAGAGTGAGGGTAAGAAAGTACAAGGGAGAGTGAGGGTAAGAAAGTACAAGGGAGAGTGAAAGTACTACAGAGTGAGTGAGTACCTGGAAGAATAAGAATGAGAGAGAAGGGTGAAAGCACAAGACAGATCATGTACTCGGTAAAAGTACAAAAGAGAATAAACACAAGAGTACAAAAAAATCACGAGTCCGTAAAAATCAAAAACAAATTCACCTGTAAAAAAATCACACAAGTATCAACAAAAACTAAATAAAATACTACACGAAACATTAAAAAAAATGAACACTACATAGAGAAATTTCACAGGTAGATTAATTTACACGTGGTCACCGATACTGTCAGGTGATGAGCGATGCTAATAGGTAAACAGAAGACGATATACTCTGAAACTGATCTTAGCGATATACTCTGAAAAAACAGACATACCTACGATATACCCTGAATAAAAATGAATAATATAATGATGATATATTGTCCTCTGAAATAGACCAATAATATATGTACACAGAGCTTATAAAAAATTACATAAGAAATTTTACTCAAAATTTATAAAACTTTACACAGAACTTCACACAAATTATAAAACTTTATATGAACATTACACAAAAGTTTTAAACTTTACATAAGAAATTTTACACAAAATTTATAAAACTTTACACAGAACTTCACACTTTACACAACTTATAAAACTTTATATGAACATTACACAAAAGTTTTAAACTTTACATAAGAAATTTTACACAAAATTTATAAAACTTTACATGAACTTTACATAAAACTTTTTAACTTTACACAAAATGTATAAACTTTACATTTTTTAAACTTTACACAAGAAACTTTATAAAGAACGTCTAAAACTTTACATTGCACAAGAAGCTTTACAAAAAACTTTACACAAAACTTATAAAACTTTCCATAATACTTATAAACCCCTGTCCCACTTTCTTTCCCCTGAGCCACTTTCTTTCCCCTGAGCCACTTTCTTTCCCCTGGTCCACTTTCTTTCCCCTGGCCCACTTTCTTTCCCCTGACCCACTTTCTTTCCCCTGGCTCACTTTCTTTCCCCTGGTCCACTTTCTACCCCCTACTCCACTTTCCATTTGGGGCCAACTATTAGAGATTGATAAGGAAAAAGACGATGGAGAAAAAGAGAAAATGAAAGAAAGATAGAATAAACAAAGAGAAGGGGGAAGAAAGAAAAGAAATATAAAGAGAAAAACAAAGAGAAAGAGAAAAACAAAGAGAGAGAGAGAGAGAGAGAGAGAGAGAGAGAGAGAGAGAGAGAGAGAGAGAGAGCATTATGTAAGGAAGGTTGAAGGAAGTGTAGACACAAGGACACAAGCTCCTTCAGAAGGGGGTTTTTACCTTCCGTCACCAGCAGCGGTCCTCGCCAAGTTGGGAGTTACTGAAGCAGGTGTACAGCGTGGAGGAGGAAGACAGAGTGGAGGAGGAAGAAAAGGTGGTGGAGGAAGACCATGAGAAAGAAGAGGAGGAAGACAAGGAGAAGGAAGAGGAGGAGGAGAAGAAGAGGAGGAGGAGAAGAAGAAGAAGGAAGATGAAGAGGAAGGCAAGAAGGAAGAGGACCACCAAGGAAAAGGAAGACTGTGAAGGAGGAGGAGAAAGACTGGAGGAGGAGGAGGAAGAAGAATGAGAAAGAGGAGGAATGAGCGACGGATAAAATGATGGTGGCGGACAGGTGAGAAGGGGGGGGCAGGGGGAGAAAAGGAAAAGGGGAGAAGAGGGGGAGAAAATGAGGAGGTGAAAAGGGAGGTCGAGGAGGAATGAGGGAGAAGGAAAGGGGGGGGGGCGAAGGGAAAAGGGGAGACGAGTTGGAAAGTGGGAGGAGGAAGACTGGCAGGAGGAGACAGGTAAAATGCACAAGAAACGAGGAAGTGGTCCTGAACTGTAATTGGTGGGGAAAAAACGTAGTCCTGGCCTCTGATTGGACACAACAATATTCTGAGGTACGATTCAGGGTACTAATTTTTAAACTGAATATTGGAATTTCAATACGTGAACAATAACAACGGCGCCATAATAACTTTGTGCTGGGGTAACAAGCTGGTACAGGTTTGTTATAATTATATGACCTGACATTGACCCAAGACTCAACTTAGTCGTGTCAGCGCTGGAGACTGGTTAGACCCCAATCATTCTGTGGACGTGGGCAAAGACTGCGTTCGGACTTTTTGATGACCCGAGTGACATTGCCGTGTCCATATCCAAGATGCCCCCCCCCCCCTTACGGACGCCCATGAAGGAAAGAGAGGGAAGCTGAGGAGAAGGTAAGGAGGAGGGGAGAGGAGAAAAAGGGGTAGAAGGATGGAGAGGTGGAGGAGGAAGGGAGGGAAACAAGGAGAACCAGGTAGAGGTAAGGTAGTGTGGGAGGGGGCGGAGCA